AACAGCACCAATCATCAAATCCCCCCCTCCATACCACTGTTGTTGCTGCCCCCCGGTCCCCGGCTGCTCATACCTCAAAACCCCATCCTCCGCCGTGGTCAACGTCCCGTCCATAAAACCACCAAGCGTCATATCCATCGCCTGCGCGAACCCATCCCCCAACCCAGGGAAATCAAACGTGTCCCCAGGAAAAAAGGTATTGTTCAGCATCCAGGCCGGGTTGCCCATCCCGGGAATGTCAAATGCATTGGAAGTATCAGGCTGTTGTTGTTGTTGAGGTGGGGGGTAATTACCCCAGTTTTGTTGCATTGCCCCCGATGATGATGAAGAAGAAGGAGGGAGGATACCCTGATCATTGTTGGGGCGGGAGGAGGCACCGTTTGCAGAGGCGGCCGCCATTTCTGATAAGAGTTGAAGGGGGGTGCTAGCGACGGGTGGGTAGGTTGGTTGGGGGGTTTGGGAGGGCACTGGAGTGGGGACGTTGGGGTGTTTACTGTCAGTCCCTGACGGGCCTGGGTAAGAGGGTGTTTGGAGAGAGGATTGGGGGGTGTCGCTTGCGGTGTTGGAGCCGTTGGAGCCAGTGCCGCTTTGGTTCTGTTTCTGCTTTTGGAACCAAGACCGGAGCATAACCAGGACGAGGAGGAATTTCGCGGCGGGTCGACTTCTGTCTTCTGCTGCGGTGGCGCGGAATTTCTCGAGGAGTTTGTCGAGGTGCTGCTCCACTTTCATGTGGTCCTTGTTGATCACCTTGCCGAGCTCACTTTTTGTGGAGGAGGCGGCGAAGTAGAGCTTGATGAGCACGACGACGGCATAGGCCACGCGGACAAAATTGAAAACTGGGAGGCACCGTGTCGTGTGGACGTCAAGTGAGAGAAATGTGTCAAAGATGCCGTCGATGGCGGTAAGACAGGCGGAGAGGGCGTTGATATGTGCCTGCGTGAGAGGGGCATCCGAGGCCAGTGGCGTGTCTGGGTTGGGTCCCAGCCTACAGTCATCAGGACAATCGCTATGGGTTGCGATCTCGTGCATGTAGAGGCTGATAACGTGGAAGCTCATCTTTAAAGACGCTATGAAGCTGTTAGATGTAGACCAGAAGACGTCTTTCAGATCATACGGTCGACTTACGCTGCTGTAACTCCCTTGGAATATTCTCACTGTATCTCTCCAGCTCCCTTTCAAACCCCTTAAGCGCATATTGGGTCCTGGAATCAGCAATATTCGGCGTAGACGAAGGATCGTCCATGGAAAACTGAATCCCGACCTCCTCGGCAAGCTTGTGCGTCCAAACCAAATGACAGAAATACTTGTCAGTCGGCACAGCCTCCGGGGAAGACTCCAGCACGTCGATACACTCTGCCATGAACGGCGTCCACCTAATCAGATTCGCCCGATGAAGTGCCATTGCCGTGTTGGTGGCCAAAAAATAACACGTCAACCACGCTCTTCTCGCCTCCAGTGTTGTCGGATCAAGCGGTGTCCCGCGCATGGGGTGGTCTCTCCAAGCCTGAGAGACGTGTCGTTTAAACCCACCTCTCGACATCTTCTTGGTTCCCAGTCCAATCTCAATAGCCATCACAGCAGCTACATGAACAAGTTGATAAAACTTGAGCTCCTCGAACCGATCTGGCGGCCAGTACCAAATAACAGCCACCTGTAGGGCTTGTACAAGCTCCAAGCTCTTGTGGCCGTCCACAATGATTTTCTCGGCAAAGACTTGCATTAGCTCCTTTGTCAGTGTTTTTTGCAAAGACGGAATCTCAGCCGAAGCAGCCGCCATCAGTGACAAAAACAAGATGGGCTTGTTTGCCCGAACCTCCCCCACCGTGACCCCAGCCGGAAACACAACACCAGGGAGATGATAGCACATCTGCTGTGTGTACCTCATGAAAAACTCTTCAGCCATATTCATGGTCAAGATGCCCCGATCAACCACATCTGCCACCTTGGCAGCACCGTCCTCACTTTTGAAGTTTGCTCCAGCCAGTGCAACAGCAGCTCTCTCTTCCTCGCCGGTAACCTGTGTCATCTTCCTCTTCTGGCCAGCTACAGCGGGAGTTGAAGACGATATCGTCGACGACAGCGGAGGCAGAGATGTCGACATTGACTGCTGCTGCCCATACCGTTCACCACCACCCGCATACCTCCCATAATCCGTACCAGGTCGGCCGCCGCTTTGATCATGGCTAGTTCCTCTCCAATCCGCTGAAGATACCAGAGCCTGAGCAGCTTGGTGAGCCTGGGGATCTGAACCTGGCCCGTGAAGCCCTCCTGTCGATGTGCCAGAAGTTTGCGGTCTGGTGGCCTGCAAACTAGCAGTCAACATATCAATCTTCTTCTCCAGCTCCGCCACCCGTGAGTCCGTTTTTTTAGCCCGTTTCCTCGTGGGCTGGGTGATAACGCACTCGCGTTTGGCTTTGGCACATCTCTTGCAAGGGCCATCTGGGTCAGCCGGGTCTGGGTCACAACGAACTTTGAGACCTCTGCATGATTCACAAGCACGGGGCTTTTTGGGATCTAGCCCACCGCCAGCGCCGCCTGGAGAGTGGTGCTCATCACCGGGACTGTTGTGGTGGTGATATGAATTGTTAGGGGTGTTGACAGCAATGGAGCTGGGGGCCGTGGTATTGGCTGGAGTGGACGAGGTGTTGACGGTTGCGGTTGATGCAGGTGTTTGTGGGGAGAATGCCGATGTTGGATGGTTAGTGTGGGGAATTTGGGGTTGGTGATGATGCGGTGGTTGCCATTGCTGTTGCTGCGGGCGCAATTGATGCTGCTGCTGGGGATGATGGGCTTGGAGTTGGGGCAGCCTATCATGGTGGCGTTGTGCATTCAGCGAGCTAGCTGGCGGCTGGGCGCTCGGCGCCCCATGAACGGGGGCTGGTGTATTGCCTGGGCCGTTGCTGGAAGTGCTGGTGCTGCCGTTGCCGCTTCCACTGCCGCCGTTACTGCTGCGGAGCATGGGGTCAAGCGCCGAGATGTCCATGCCGGTGGTTGTCTGTTGGGCCTGCCGACGGTCTTGCTGATGCTGACGGCTTTTCTGAGGCCGATCACCGATGCTGAGCGGTCGAATGTCAGGGCGAAGAAAGTCGGCGCTCCAACCGAGAGTCCCGAGTTCAGAAGTGGCGCCGCGCCGAGAATGGAATCCTCCCATTAAATTGCGTACTACACCCGCTGTTACACACCCGCAAAGATTTAATTTCATGTGATGTACAAGCCTTGGATGACGACAACAACCTCGGTAAGCAAAGACTCCGACGTGGTACGTGCGCCACCTCCAACAAACAACCCTACTGCGTACAAACCATTGCGATGTGAGGCAAACCCAGAACACAGCTCATTGCCTACAGTATATGCTATATCTCAGCGGCGAGGTATCTCGGGTTAGTTGGTGAACTGTATCTTGAGGGTTGACGAAGACCTAGCTCAAGACCTTGGGGCTCCTTCTTGAATCATGATCAAGTTGCGTGATTGCATCGACATGTGCTTGCCGATGATGAAAGTTCGAGCACTCCCATGCTGTCTGCGCATTTCAGGTCAGCGCGAGACGGCCCAGAGGGCAAGAGGTACGAGGCAGGAAGTATGAAGGAAGGCAAGAAGAATGGTTGCTGCTACCAGCTATCAGACTTTGACACCAAGATGACGGAGACTGGGCTGCGGCCCAAATGATTATTTCAAGGGAGACTCAACTTCCTGGTCCAGTGAAGTCGAAAAGTATCACTCCCGCATACATTCTTATTTCTTGAGAGAAGAGTCGACCAGCATCAAGCCCTCATCAACAGCTCCTTGTTCATCCCAATCGCTTCACTGTTAGGCCCACACGTCGGCCACCGTCAGCAACATGTTCATTAAGCTTGCCTCCTTTCTGGCTCTCGCAGCAACTGTGGTATGCTGTCTGCCAACTCCTCGGTTGTCATCCTTCTAATCCCTCTACCCTAGACCGCCACCACCCCGTTTCATACCACCAACGCCACCTCCCTGTATCAAGACAACGGCCACGGCATCAAATGGACAGGCGTAATCACCCCCGGTCAGCCCAAAACCACCCTCTTCGGCACCGTTGACGAGATCTACAACTATATCCTCGCAATTAACCCCAACTACGTCGCCCAGCCTCTTGACAAGTCCGATCTTGCCCTCCTCGCCTCCCCCTGGAACGAACCCGGGACCACCAAGCTAGTCGCCCGACAAAGGTCAAAATACCTCGACAAGTTCCCCAGCCCCGTGTGCCGCGTCATGGCCACGGGCAACAGCAGATCCCTCGATCCCATAATAAACGAACTGGATATCCTTGGTGGAATATGTGAGGCTCCCAAGGATGCCTGCCGCCGTGTTGGGTGCAAGTCGACTACGGCTGGGTATCTTTGTGGTGTAAGTCTCTTTATCCTGTCACATAAGCGGCTTCAATACTGATGAAACGGTTAAAGGAATACGGCAACGCAGCTGTGGTTGCATGCACCGATGTGTCACGTCGTCTGGAGGTGATCAAGAGGGACTGCTGTTCGGTGATAGCTGATTTTGGCGGAAAACCAGTGTCGGGACACTCCAAACGTTACGACTACGGTGTGTATGCTGGGTATGGGAACTGTAATCATGGGGAGGATAGCTCGCCGGCTGATTATCCTTATCCTGGGGGTGGGATTAATGGGAAGTGCTAGGGGTTGGCGGGTATTGCAATGGTAATTGGGGGGGGGGGGGGGTGGTGATGTCTGCGAAGGGTTGCGAGTGTCTTTCGTCGAGGTTAGTTGATGGGGTGCTGCCTAACGATGATGTGGCCTGACGCGTCTCTAAGGGACAGGTCTGTCATTGGTCATGAATTGCTTACTTTGCACTAATAAATAAATATTATCTTCATCGATTCGGATGGAAACGCGTGTGCCTGTGAGACCCCTAAGTTGTTGCCTGGCCAACCACCAAGTCGAAAAGGGGTAGTAAGTAGGGCGCTCTCGAAAGTCTGGCTTGGACTGCCACGAACATCAACCATACCAGCTATGAAATGTTTTCGGTTGATTTAATGTGAAAGGACAGCTGTTTCAAATGAGTTTGACTGGGGGTAGTATCAATTACAGTCTTGCTGTCACCTTATACTGCAAAACGCGAAAGCGCATTCTGGACAATTTAGGGCTAGGGTTATACACGGGCGTTTCTGGTGCCAGCCTTGATGAGTCCGAGAGATCGGATCTAAACAGAATCCACCCCGCTTTTACAGTCTCCCTGCAGGCACCCATATAGACATCACGTTCTCAAGGCAGATATTTAATTTCTGACGGATTTATGATCGTTCTCGAAGTCTTTATTTTTCGATCTCGATATTCCGTCTTTTGACAACAGGTGAGTAAGGGGGACCCGAAAAGGCGTGTTGAGGAATCGTTGCGCTGACTTGTCGTTAGAAATAATTGCACGACCACAGCAAGAGAGTGGTGCTTTTCTGTCAGATAACACGTCTCGCCAAAACCGGACTTTGTTGTTCGAGGCTTTGCGCACAACGGCAAAATGGATCAGAACCGCCCAACGCTTTCCACGCTGCCCAATGAGCTTCTCGCCATGATCATCGAGGAGCTGGTGGACGAGAGCAGCAAGCACAGCGGTGGACCTTCCATCAAAGCCTGCCGTTTGGTCAGCCGCCAGTTTTGCGACGTCAGCTCTCGCTGGCTTATTCCCTCGGTCAAAGTCGGGCACAGTAATGATTCTCTGGCGCGACTGGATGCGATATCACGACACCCGGCGATTAGTCGTGGTGTTAGGACGATAGAGGTGGTGCTGTCTTCGTATTCTACTTTCTGGAATCCTCTTGGGGGGAAAAGGGAGTTTATCGACTTTCAGCGGAAGGTCTTGGCGAACCGGGCAAAGATTTTTGAGGTTGGCAAGATTATTACTATGACTGAGAAGGATAATGCAATATTGAGAAAGGTGCATGAGGTGTTGAGGTGTTGGCTGTATTTCCAAGAACCGAAACGACAGCCGGAGCCGGGGGCTGATTTGGCGCTTCACCGGGAGTGTATGGACAGGTATTTTGGGGAGTTTCAGAGGCTGGCTTATGAGGAGAAAGTGCTGGTGGATCAAAGGGCGATGGGGACGGCGGTTGCTGAGGCGTTGAGCCGGATGCCGTGGGTGGCTGGGCTGAGGTTTGATGATACTTGTCATTACGGCAGACGGAGGCGGGGGCTTTCGTGGGAAACGCCCGAGACGGTGGTTGAGGGGATTTATGAGAATACGCTGTTGCCGTTGACGAGGAGGGATCTCGAGGCGAGAGGGTCTGTTATTGTTGATGAGATTCCTTTTTATCATCATGCCTCGGGGCTGGTGGCCTCGCCTCGTCCGCTCTCGGAGACTATTCCTCGTGTTTTGGCTGCTGTGGGGGGTGTTGATCAGGTAGAGCTCAAGAGGCTCGTGGTGAACGTGGACTTGATTGATTTGAGGGGGGTTTTCAGGGAGGTTTCTGATTTGCGAGAGAAGCTTACAGCTGCCACGAGGAGGTTGACAGACATTTCGATCCAGCAGAAGGCTGGGTATGACGATAGGTCTTTTTGGGGACTCTGTTGTACATCGCCAAACCTTAAACACTACTCGGTGGTACTGGAGCTGGGATCACATGCGTTGGACCCGTTGCTGGAAGGGCCTGGTTCGAATGAGGAACGGAAAAACTTGACGGTTATCCAGGTGAAGGGTGCTAGAATGACCGTCAGCACCCTGAAGCGGTTTCTTGACATTATCCCAGATGTCCTGGACCGCGTGGAGTTGGTGGGTGTCGAGGTGGTTGGGGGAGGTTGGCGGGAGGTTTTGGATATGCTCCGAGCGAAGACTTACCGGCAGACGGGGGACTGGCCGTACCCTGTGAGAATCTCTCAGGCTGTTAGCCCCCATCCGAACCATGAGTTGCACCCAACGTTTGAGTGGGTTTTCCAGAGCGATGCGACGTGGGAGCCGAGCGATGCCGACGTGTATGTCATGAGACAGTCGGGGGTCAACCCGTTTGCTCCGGAGGCAGGGAAGTTTCCTTTGGGAGGTATTGTCAAGTGGTAGCTAAGGTGTGCTGTTATGGCGGCGAGACTTTTCAGTTCTAGGTTCGTCTTTACTTGCCATGCCATAGAAAGTGTACATCATTAGATACTATCACGACTTTCGAATAGCTGCCTACTTACTACCTACTTCATAGATGGAGGATGGAGTCTGTGAAACAGCACGAGAGTCAACCGAGAATGCCAAAAGATGGAACTTTGGCCTTTCAAGATATCCTAACGGCCTACCAGCCATCGTTTTGGATCTACCAACTATATTCTCCGGCTTTACAGAGCAACTGTTTATCCTCAACATAACTGCACCCCACGGCACCAAATCTTCCAAATAAACACCACTTCTACACCCACTATACCCCCCTCCCATCCTTTTGTTTGTCCAATCCCTATCCCAACCCAGACTTCAATCAATCTCACCCACCCTTCCAGAAGCGAACCAACCCGCGCGCCCCAACTTCCTCATCTTTCACCATCAGTAACGAGCCACCTACCAAACGGGGCCCGCTCCGTTCCTCCTATTTCTCCTTTTTAACATACCGAGCTTCGGCTCAAGTTTCTCAACCCCGAAGCTTCCTGCACCAAATTCCTTGAATGAAAAGAGGGCCAATAAAACGGCACAATTCCACCAAAGGGACCCAAAAATTCCCATGGGAATGGTATGACAAGGATTACGTTGATGGAAGGAGCGGGAGTCCAATGGCTCGTGGCTCGGGTTGCGGGTTTTGAGCTCCGGGGCCGGCGGGGGTGCATTTCTTCCCTTCCCTTCCCTTCCCTTCTCTTCCCTTCCCTTCCCTTCCCTTCCCTTCTCTTCCCTTCCCGTACCTACATACATACGTGCTCTCTGTTCTGTGGGGGTTAGGTCTTGGAGTCTCAAACCAGAGCTAGAAGCAAAAAGCTTCCAAGCCCTACCCACTGATGAGTCGATCATAAAACACCTACCTACCTAACCTAACCTATAACCCCCAGGTAAGTCATCAAAGAAAAAAGACCGAAAATGCAGCCAGAATCTGCATGCTGCTTGGCTCCCTCCTGCCCCGTGTCTGACTTTCTAGCCAGGCTCTAGCATCCTTTCTTTGACCTCTCCATTCAAGAAAACTTCCTAGCTCTCTTCTCCCGCCCCCGATCGAAATATTTCATAGGTAGTCAAGCAAGAAAGTCATTGCGGTGACCTTCAGATAAGACAAGCTATCAAGGTCCTCAACCCTCCTCCCCAATCCTTTGACCCAACAGCTCAAGCCCATCCCATCTCTTCTTTGTTCCCTCACCACCAGTCCCCCACCTTCAAGCGCCAAGTGAACGGGTTGGCTGGTTTAACCCGTCTTCACCTTGATCTCCATCTCCCTTCCTATCCTAGATGGAACAACTTCGGCGTGTTGCTCGCCAACACCTTCCCACCCAACAAACAACACCTCATCAAAGCAAAGCATCAAAGAAACACCTTATCTGATCATCAACCACACTGCACCACATCAAATCGCCATCACCCGGTTGAAATATCATTTCCTCACATTTGTAACTATGAGAAGGCATTCTAGTCGACCTAAAATAATGATACTTGTTCCCATGTCTGATCCGTTTCCATGTCCTTCCCATAATCCCATCTGTCTGCCCTATTCCCATACCAGGGCAATCCAGTTCAGTTTCAGCCATGTGATAAAAACCCGGAACCCTATTCATACACTCTGGTGTGATGACATGAAAAAACAACCCATAAGAACCCCATGTCAAAAAATATTGCAGTCTGATTCCATGATCTGCTGCTGCTCTTTCTCATTCCATCCATCTCCCACGTTGTTCGCTCGCTCGCTAGTCATTTCACAACATAAAAACAACCGACTCCCCAACCTCGTAACCTCTCCCAATGTAGTAGAAGGTACTACCCCACTGTAGCTGCTTGTTTTGCCTTTTTGACCCGGCCTTTTGGGGGAAAGAATTGGACTCATTTCAGAGTCCCAATCCAGCTGAAAGTTGACCCCGAACACCTTGACGAACTCCAGACAAAAAATGTTGACAGGCCGACCCGAACTCCGTTCCCAAGCCAAATAAAGCCATGTATCATGTAGGCAAAGCCCGTCCAACCCAATCTAGCCGGACCCATAAATTGGAAAAGCCTGTCTCAAACCAAATGACGTGGGTGGATGCATGCGTAGGGTAAAAGCCTTTTGAGCTCAAAAATTTTACACACATTTCTCTCTCGGTGTCTTGTTATGGAGTTCAGTCCATGTAAAAGTCACCCTTCAAGATGCGCTCTTGGAAGTGATCCGGCTTCTGCGGGGCACGGGGCCTCGGCTGAGCAGGCGGCGCTGGCATATCAGACACCGACCTGGCTCGGTCGTGACGAGGATTGATTGACGAAGCCGAGACGGCGGGAGGTCCACCACGAGGAGGAGAGGCGCTGAGGCCAGAGGCAAAGGAGAATGAGGACCGGGCACCTTGGGCGACGGTGCTTTCGGCACGGGATCTAAGCTGATCGGACCAGTTGAAGCCTTGGTCTGATCGAGCGGTAGGAGAGCACAAGTCAGAACCTGTTCGAGCTTGGTTTGTGGTGCTTGCCTGAGGAGGGACTGTTCTGCCCCATGTGTAATTCCCAACACCTGCCGAAGCAAGAGGGGGTGTGGGTGGATTACTGCGGGCAGTACTGCCTCGTCGGGCCGGTTGGGAAGGCATACCATTTGCACCAGGACTGTTACCTCCACGCATGCCACGCATGGCTTGAGCGGCACCCAGGCTCATCCGGCGAGAGAAGGGAGTGGTGGGGGCGGTGTGGGACATGTCATCTCCGTCCTCGATGGCACTCTCGTTGATGGAATCGGAATTGGTGGAGACGCTGGCCCGGCGCATAAAGGCAGCAGAGGTGTTTGTGGGAGAGGTTCCCGGAAGACCAAAGGTGGCAACAGAGACTCTTCGGCGCTGGTTGTCCAGCATGGACGTGGCCAAGGGGGTGGGGAAGCCCGTGACTGAGGGTTGCGAGATGGAATTGCTCCGGAAGAGGCTGGTGAGAGTGTTGGAGGTCACAGACCCGCGTCTCTGTTGTCGTGCCATATCGTTGTTGGAGTTGTTGGAGGATGAGTTGTCTGAAGACATGATGAAGGAGGGAGAGGCTTCAAGAGCCAGAGGACGCCAGGACTTATATCGAAAGGGACGAAAGTGTGCGTTTAACGTCCTCGTGTGAGGCGGCAAGGATGGCCTGTCAGGAGGGCGGGAGTGGCTTCGGGAAAATCGGTAGTAGGGTGGAAGTGTAGCAGCGTGTGCCGACTCGTATGTTTTGTAGATTGCAATGGTTCGAGTCCTGTGCACACCGGCGCCTTCGAAGTAGTGGAGGTGAAACGCTTAAATGGCAAACTGTTGTGGGGGGTGGGATGACGAGAATGACGAGGGGTGGTGCAACGCCAGGGCACTCGGGTCTGAATGGCTCGCGCGCTGTCGACTTTTCTTTGTTGACGGACAGCCAGGTGTTCAGGTAATGGGCGGGATGATCGGCAGGCCTCGTTCGATGGGAGAAGCACGGTCACGTTTTGGGTGGGTGGGAAAGACGACAGGTACAAGGCCGTTGCGATATTGCGGTCCTTTCCTTTCCTTTGTCTACAATGGCAGCAGCGGTCCGTCTCTGCCTATCTGGCTGTCGAGACGGGGCCAGGCTGCGGGCGGGGTGCTTCCTCAGACGCTGCAGAATTGGGGGGGTCTGACTCGATTGGCACTGACAGCGGACGATCGCGGGGAATGTGTTGGGGAAAGTGGTGTTTGAGAGTGAGATGGAAAGTTCAAGCAGCTGCGGATCAGTTTGAGGTGTGAAGAGGAAGGAAAAGAAGGGGGTCGTTCTGTCCTCTTGCTCTTGCCTCTTGACTTTGCCAGTTCCATCACCACCGACAAGCGGCGGTGGTAGTACTAACTACTATGGGAAGCGGCGTCGATCACTGGTTCGGCCAGCACAGACGCCGCTATCAGCGTGTCCATCACACATTGGGCGATGTGATTGGCTACCGCTCCAACGAGTGGACCAAACACTGCTGCTATGACCAATGGCGTCTGCAGAAAGGCTGCCGGTCTGGGGGATAGCGTCCCCATCCTCCAGGGGAACGACCCCGGGACTAGCAGTTTAAAGTGAAGCCAAGATCCCAGCTTTCGACGTCACGGCCCCACATTAAACTTCACCCAATCGAACGATATGCGGGGTAGTCGAACAACTGCCTGTCTCTCTCGCAACTCCCTGACATCCCCTAGCACGAGACATGTGCAGTGCTGCCTCTTGGGCGCTGAAAGCGGTCAGCACGATGGGATTGAAGGATGCGCATTGCATGATGTCGCATCTTTGGCAGCCTTCCACAGAAACCGTGAAAACAAAGATACCCTCTTGGCGAAGAGATGCATCACTGCGGCGGGCGAGCATGTGGCTTTGAGCTTAGCCAAATTAGGCATGTTGTAGTCTACTATAAAACGGCCTGGACTGGAATTTACCGTCCGACCATCCATACGTCCCTCGTCCTTGCCATTGCCTCTCACGAGATGCACATCACTTTTGCCACAGAACTGTCTTGTTTGCTGATGAGATCTGCCCCTAATCAACAATGACTGCAGCGAGATCCAATATTGGCATATGATAAGGGCGACGCAGGACCCCTTCTTTCCTCTCCCCCAGTCAACGGACCGTCAAACACAACCGCTTCCCCTCTTTTCACCGGTCAACAGCTGCAATGGTGCCGGGCTGCAAACTGATGCAACCACCAAATGCATCATATTCGTAAGCCGCCTTCTGGACTCTCAAAATGTCATGCGAAGACAGCTGTGTAGGGAAAAGGAGCAATCCATCGATTGACGGACAGTTGCTCCGGCTGCTTTCCCCCCACCCGATCACTCTCAGGAAGGGTCTGAAACCTTTTGTCTTGGAGACCACGACACCATCAATGAGATCAACAGAGCTTTCCTGTCTATCTTGTGGGGGCCTTCCCTGCACCACCACAACCACCACGTCTCAGCTACATGAAAGGATCCCATCCACCAATTCCAGGTGACCATGCCCGCAGTAGTCGCGCCAACTATCCTCTGACTTGGCTCCTTGTTAGTCCCCAGTCTGGCACACCTGGCCAATTCGGTGCCGGGGAGATAAAGCATACTGCAGCAACCCAAGCCAGCCCAGCAACTCCAAAGCAACCCTCCGGAAGAGAGCAATGCCAATGAAGCCGTCTTTCCGCACCTGAAGGGATCTGGTTGACTCCAGTTTTCCAGCCTGCCTGCATGACGGTTGAGTTGTAGATTGGCGAATCCTTTTACACTTGCATACTACCCCCTGCTCCATCGCCTCTCGCTTCCAACCGTTCTGTCAGTCTTGAGTGCTGTACAGTACTTTGCTCGAGATTGGATTGACAAGAAGCTTAATGGGCCGAACACCACCATTCCCCCATTCTCATCGAGCCCCTCAATGAGCGACGTGGCAAATGTCATCACCTCCCATCTCGCCAAAGTGTTCCGGAGATAACACCGCCCAAACTGACCACTGAGAAGGTGGCGTACACCATGATGATGGCAGTCGATCGGGCATTTTGAAATGTCGTAGGTTGTCAAACGCCAGATTGCTCATTCGCCATGTGCGTAAGGAGGTTTCATATTCTCAGCAAGCCACACCATCAGACAACAGTGTGACATATGTCCCATAGCACCATAAGGCATACACTGGGGAAGCACAAACCCCAGCAAATGTGTGAGACACAACTTGGAAGGCAGCGGGGGTAATATATGCCTCTCGAGTTCAACGAGACACGCGGGCGTCATTGTTTTCACTTGAAGGCTTCAAACTTCGCCGAGTTCCGTTTCACGAACATGAAGCTGAACCTCGTGTGTAGCTACAACTTTCTCTTTTCAATGGGTCATCGAACTGGCACTTCTATACGGTGTTCCAGGCCTGTCCTATCGGAACCCAGCATCGTATTCTCAACTACCTAACTTTTTTCTGGTCCCATCCCATCTTATTACCATCTGCAAATTCCCCGCATTTGTCATCATGAGGGGCCAAAAGTCAACCCAAGTATGACAACCTGCTGGCTCTTTCCCCCATCCCTACCTACCTACCTACTTCACCCAATCTTTACGGATCACCTGGTAACACACCGTTGAAACTTTAAATCTCCCACAGACGTCTGGGGGAGGGGGTTCGTCTCCCCAGAGAACAGACAATTTGACTTTGACAACTCCCATGGATCTGGGAACATGGGTCGCAGGGGAGGTAGCTAACCTCCAGGAAAAGGGGTTTTAGCTCCAAGGGAGTTTTCTACTGGATTTGATCAATGGGGAAATATTCTCCTGCTTTGGGGGCCCAAAAGTTGCCCGTAGAGCGAGAGAGAGCAAACCGGTTTCCACAATCAAAATGACAGGTCTGTTTGTCCCCGTAGAAGAGTGTGCGCGACCAGAGTCCATGCATGCTCTTTGGCCTTTCAACAACACAGTGGACAAACCTTGGTGGTGTTAAGACGGACATGTGGAGGGTGGAAGCCCGAGCCAATAACCCACACACAGACACCCACACACACACAAACACACTCACACACTTACTTTTGTTTCTTGTCAAGGTGGGTTGGGAGAGATGGGGGAGAAAGGCAAGTCTGTGTGACAGGTCCCTCACCTCTCACCTCTCTCACTGCATCTCTCCTTCGTGTCTGTAGACATTCGTTCTTCCTCCATTTTTAGACCCAAGCCTCCCGTTCTATTCATACATTCTGTTTATCAAGGTATCACAACAACGGGTAACTGCACTGCTCAATCCCGCCCCTCGCTGCCTTGTCATTCTCGCCTTCATGTCTTGTCTTGTGCCCCCTCTCACCCATCACCCAAGCACCACCCCCACTAGCGACCCAAAAGGGGGGTTGCCGACGGGGATACAACGGGTTTGTCCACATCTCCAACCTTCCCTGGTAGACTAAACAAAAGCAAGTCCATTTCCAGGAGGCCTTCCAACCCGGGGCTGGGCTCGTGTGATCACTCCCTATCGGTAATCCCCCCAACCAACACCACAAACCATCCAGATAGATGGGTATCTATACTCGTAGTTTGTCCCTATCTATCTATTTCCCCTACCGGTGGGGCTTGATAACAACACAACGATTGACATCGTTGATATTCACCATCAGCCGTTTCTATCTGCACAAGAGCACTCACTCCATCCACCTGCAAAAGGTAGTAAAACAGTCTTCATAAAAAAGGGGGCTGATGAGACAGAAAGCATGCTCAAGTCAAGATCTCCTGTCCTTGCATACCACTCGAACCAGCTCCCGTTCCACATGGCCCAATTCCTACATAACGTCAACAATCAAACCCCCAGACCTCCGTGCAATAAACCCCCATCTGTATCACTTCACATGCACCGTCACCTCACATTCGCAAACCCCGCCCATTCATAACAAAGGCAAAGACAATTATGGGGTATCTCATCCACCGCCTACACCACCTCATGTAAAACAACAAAGCAAAGCTAGCTCACTAAATGGTATATACACTCTCTCGCTCGCTTGCTTGCTTGCTTGCTCGCTCGCTTCAATATGTTTATCTCATGTTATGTTGTTATCTTTCCCCCACAAAAATTAATAGAAAGGAAAATTTCAAATACAAATAGAATACATACATCACCCATTGTTCTTCGTTCAACATTGCCAAAAGACCTCCCTTCCCCCTTTTCCTAGTCCCCCCCCTCCCCCACGTGAATTATCTCTTTTTTTTTCTCCCCCCGTTGCACAAAAAAAACTAAAAAAAAAAAAAAAACTTAACAAGCCCAGAAAAATGCCAACCCAAATTTCCCTTACTACTCCGTTTTTTGATGCAAGATGCAAATGTTTGTTGTGTTGCTTGATGGGGCCGCCATATACTCGTTACAGTAAGTTTTCCGCTCGAAAAAAAACAAAAAATCAAGCCATAAAAAATAGTTTTTGTTGTTGTCCACCCACCCTCCCCTCATCAAATCAATCCGCTGACCCCTCCCCCATCGCTAGCCCAATCAACAAGCGCAAGGAGAAGAATCACCATCGTGATGACAACTCAATCCTAGTGAATCGCACTGGGCGTAGGCGTGAGATCCCCCCCATCTTGCCCCCCCTCCTTGGAAGCAATCGCAGTCACCAAGTCATTACCCGTCCTTTCCTCACCACCCGCCTCGTCCGCATCGTCCTCAAAAACCACCGGAATCATCGTCGACCCGCTCATAACGTCGTCTCCTGCCATGGAAGTAACCGGGGTAAAAGCCGTAATCGTCGAACGTTCGTCGTCATCATCATCGGGGCCGCTCTCTTCCGAGCCTCCCGCCTTTCGTTGCTCCTTCGTGGCAGGCCGCCAGGTGTCCTCATCCCAGGGGTTGACCAAATCATCCGAAACACTGTGAGGCCTTTCCCTTCGTTCTTCCTCCAGGTCCTCGTGCGGCTTTTCCGATTGTTCTCGCTGGTCGGGCTGGCTCACTTGCTCCGGCTGCTCCGGTTGCTTCTGTGGAGCCGGTGTAGGCCCCGGGTTCCCGATGATCCACAGGGTACCATCTTCGTCCTCCACCTCCTCCGGCTGGTGGTATTCCTCCGGCTCGTCCCTCTTCCTCCAGTCCCGGTTCCATGGGCAACGCCAGTCATTATCCGCGCGCGCTCTTGAACACCCTCGTGGGTAGAAGTACTTAGATCCTCCCATTCGGCCGTCTCTGGCACACCTAGCTCCGCCGAATTCCCAGTCCCTTCCCCTTCTTCCTGGCCCAATACCATTGACATGAGTCCTGTCTATCCGCTCCCAAATATCGTTGCCCCAAACACCATCATTAGGCAGCCGGCTCGCCGGTGCCGATGCGGGTTGGGATATTGGTGCCGGGGTTTCGACTGGCGGCTGTACACTCTCCTGCTTCTGAGGAAGCTGAGCCTTGAGTCTGGCTTGTGACTGATCCCAACTTGCCTTCCATAATACGTTGGTATTCCTTGCTGTTTCGGCGGTATGTTGGGCTTCGGGTTGGTGTTGCTCTTGGTGTTGCTCTTTGTGTTGCTCTTGGTGTTGCTCTTGGTGTTGCTCTTGGTGTTGGCCTTGTATTGGGATCTGGCCCTGTTGCTGGTGCTGACTTTCTTGTAGATGCTGGCTTTGCTGTTGAGCAGCGATCATGCCGCTTTCTTTCAGAGGTTCCATCGCCCCGACACTTCCGAAGAAGATGGCGTCATTTACCAAGTTCGGGTAGAGGAATCCAACCCAGCTCATGCTAAAAACCTGCTTGAATCCGCGATCCAGGATGAGGTACAGCATCGAGACATCGATGAGTTTGGCCATGGCTAACCGTAGATTTCTCATCAACACATTTGTGCCCTGCTCATACATCATGCTAAGAGCCCATCCGAGTGGGTTGTATAGGTTGAAAAGCTCTGGGTTGGGCTCTTGAAGACTGTTGGGAGAGCGCTCTTGGAGGATGGGAAGGTATTCTCCGATGATTGCCGTAGCCTCGTTAAGACGAGCCACGGCGAAATCCATCATGGCGGTGTATTCGATGGAAGCACCGGCGATGTAGAGAAAGGTGTTGAATCGGAGCGGCTCGCCATAAAGTGGAGCGTTTCTGTCGTAGTAGGCATCTGGGTAGCTCTTGAGATACATGAATTGCAGCGCATAGCCTAGTTGCATGGCATCATGGCCGTCAAGCTCAAAGCGAATGTATCCAGCCTAGCACATATGTCAGGGCACTAGATCACGTTGAGGGGATCTGGAATACCTACTGGATCTTTGGGAGGGAGGCGCTCTCTCATGAACTCGGATTCTCGAGACAAGATGTCATGATGTACCTGCCAAGACTTGTCTTTACATACCACTAATACGTCCCATTCATATTGAGTATCCCAGAGTCTATTAAACCATTAGATAACATGTTCTTGTTCACAAAAACCTACCAACTTACGAATATTCTCCCTTATCGTGAGCGGCAATCACCGTGGCAGTGCGCTCTGCCCTTTGCTTGATAAAGTCAAGTTGTGCGGCATCAACCGCTGGCGCTTCGCTGGTCACATTCTCAGGCTCTTCTCTGATGGGTGAAGGTATGTCGGGGGCCGAGAAGCGACGGGCTCTCTGACGAGCAATTACCATGTCTGATTCAGAGGTGCTGGGCTTCTTAGTGGGTGAATCACAGACTCCAGCGCTGTTGTGGCGTTTCCTATCCGCTGGTTTCGTTGCTGAAGTCGAAGACAAATTCCTCTTGTGGTGGCCCTTATGCCTAGATTTCGATTTGGGAGTCGTCTTGGCTGTCACCGGCAAAGCTGGCGGCGGCGGTTGTGAGCTCAGGGAACCCTGGTGCAAGGTTTTCTCCCTGGAACCTGGTTGAGACCCGGGTGTTTTCGCCTTTGCGTCGCTCGAGTTTCTCCAGTTGCTCGACTGCGAAGATTTTGAGGGCATTTTTGCAGTGGGCTCATGGGCAATCGAGGGATATTCCGTGTCTGCTGGCTTGGTTGTGCTGGTTTTGGGTGCCTTGGTGAGAACTTGGACTTTCTTGCCAGAGGCGACTTGGGCATAACTTTGAGTTCTGGTGACAGTGGGGGCGCTTTTTGCTTTATGTTTTTCGGGTGACTGAGGTTTTGGCTGAGGTGGATTCCGTGGCGGTTCGCGAGCCGGCTTTTTCAACTGAGGAAACTCGGCGGAGGAGTTGTCTTTGGTATCCTTGACCTGGCGGTTCGGGCCGGGCCCTAATGCAGTGTTCCTGTCTCGACCTGGCTTGTGGTTTTGTTTGTGTTTTTGAAGCTGGTCTTGAGCACGCATCGCACCCTCAGGGCACTCCTTTTCTCCTTCTTTGGTGGTCGTTGGGGGCTCCTTGGTATCCTTGGTGGCTGGCTTAGACTTTGAAGCGAGGACTTTGCGATTCTTAATCGTGTCTCCTTTTAAAATTCTAGCATAGGAGAGCGAGGGTTGCCTCGCTGGAGGGTCTCGGGAATTCATGGCAAGTGCCGGCGGCTATGCTGTATCCGGTGCCAATGCGGCTCAAGGTGGATGTGATGAGCGGGTGGTGATGTCAAGGTCGCATGCGAAGCATCAACATGGTCGGGGCAGATCGCTGCAGGAAGGAAACAAAATAAAACCTGCCCAAAAACTTGATCCAAATTGGACGATTGTTCGCTTTTGAGGCAGATGGGTGTGAAATATGAAATGTGTGTGTGCTGTGCGGGCTGTTAGCAAGTTGACGAGCTTGAGGAAGTCAATCGCAGTTGTGCAGAAAAAGGTAACTTGGTTGGACTTTGTCTGAGAGATCAAGTGATCAAGAAAGAATCGTGGATGTCACGCCGTGGTTTTGTGGTGTGCGGTCGTCGCAAACATCGGCCTCTTGTTGAAATTTTGGTGTTGTTTGTTGACGGCGATGCTCCACGGCCAGCTTCCCTCTCCAGACTTTTTGCACTTTTTGCGCAATTTTTCCGTTTTTCGCGGCTTTGAGCAACCCGGTCGGTCGCCAAAATAGAGACAAAATGCTCAGAACACGCAAATTGGCCGCTCAATGGTAGAACTGGAGCTCAATCAAAAAAAAGGTTGTTGCGCTGGTCGGTTTTCGTAGGTTAATATGTGTTGCTCTCGTGGCTTTGGAGTGCATGATGGGTGCATCGGCCCTCAATTCACCTTCACTGTTGGGATTCACACAAGCATCATTTCATCTTATCTCGGCTGGCTGCTTGCTCCGTGCAGCAGCGGGCAGCGGGCCGTTCCTGCTTTGTATTTCACTAGATCACTGACAGAGGGGGAAGGCACGATCAAGCCCGGGCTAAGGCAGGCAGGCTATTTTGGGGCAGACATCCCATCCCTTTTGATTAAAGTACCTTGATTCTTGGGACACCTAATGGAACCTGATAAACACCCTTGACTCCATTCCTAACCTGGCGCAATGCAATGCTCGCTCAAAGCCACTTGTATAACCGTCCTGTTCTGCAACACAGTCATGACACCACGACTCGTCTCATTCACCGTGGACATGTGCCCCTCTCTGAACGAGGTGCCAGATGCTAGTTCCAAATGCCAATGTCAGCCTTCTCCTGACTAATATATGCCACAACCCCTCCTACTTGGCGCCATTGCTTTCGGTTTGCCGTACGTCGAGGATGGATATTCTTTCGCATGCTGTGTCATTCAGATCCTAGGACTTGATCATGAAGATCTGGGGGATGTCAGCACTGGAAGAAACGATAGAATCCCAACGGTAGCTTACCTGATTGAGCGCCGCACTATCTGCAAAGGCCATCTTCTTCTGGGCAATAAACCGTGACCTTGCCAGGTAGCGGGTATTCGTAGTCACAGGCGTCGAGTAACCGCTCCCAGTTGGCGTTGACGCATCGCTTTCAACTGCCGGGGTGACACTCTCCTCTTTTTTGCGCTTCTTCTCCTTGGAACTGCTTGCGCCAGCCTCTGAACCTGATTCTGACACTGGCTTGTCCTTCTTGTTCTTGTCTTTCTTGTCCTTCTTCTCTTTCTTTTCTTTCTTCTCCTTCCTTTCCTTCTTCTTCTCCTTCTTCGCCTTCTTAGCATCCTCAGCCGATGTGTCTACCTCCTCTTCTGGAGACTCGCTCTTCTGCTTCTCCCGCTTGCTCGACTTCTCCGACTTGGTTGGCTCTGTGTCGCTTTCCGCCGAGTCCACCTTGCGTTTCTTCGACTTTTTGTCCTTCTTCTTCTCCTTCGAGCCGGCACTGTCTGTTTCAACATCAGATTCAGTTTTCCTCTTCTTGAACTTCTTCTCCTTCTTGCGCGCCTTCTCGTCGTCCTTTTCTGTGTTCTCGTCGGCCTTGCGCTTTTTTGATGGGAGATCTGAAGGCTCCGAGGCTTCTGTCTCGGCGCTCTCTTCTGTGGACTCCTCGGAACTCTCCTGAGCACCATTGACCTCGCCCTTGTCGGCACCCTCTTGTGGCTCCTCCTTCAACACATCTCCCACCAACCAACCGCCCCTAACGAAGCGAATCGTCCCTAATCTCCGCTCAAGGTATGAGTTCATCTTTAGATCCTCGCGCTTCTTCAGCTCACTCTCCAGCGCCTCCTCGCTCTTGCCGTTGAGTCTCCCGAGCAAGTGTTGGAAGTCGAACAGTCCTGTGCACTCGTCTCCATTGTTTCGTTTGGCTCCAAGACCGAGGGTGTCGTCCTTCAAGGTGACCTGGATATGCGATGCGCTGGCAGCTCCATAGTTTTCGGCATGCGCCGCGTCCTTGGCTCCGAGGTACTGGCCCGGCTCCCACCCCTGCGACCGCAGCATCTTCTGGCCAAAAGATTCGGTGTTGCGCATCCATCTGTTGTTATTCGGATCGTTGCCGAGTCTCCGTTTGCTGTTCGCGGGCTTTGTCAGTTTCTGTTGGTTCCAGGACTCAATTACACACAAAACGCGTCTTACTTCTTTGCACCGGCGAGACCCATTTTGCCCAGAAGTTGCCCGGCGCAGCCGAGCGTGAGATATTGAGGGGGCGGGGGTTAGGGAAAGCTGACGATCACAAAGTCTTCGAGGTACCTGGTGTTTCTTGGAGTTGCTTGTGTGGAACTTTTTTTTGGCGGGGAACTGGTGCAAAATGATTCTGACGCCCCACACCGCCCAGATTCGATGGATGCCAAGGCTGCCATCTTGGATGAGTGGGTCCGGTCTGCAGGGTTCCTGCCTCAACGGTCAGGGGTTGCAACATCACGGTTCTCGATGTCATCGTGCCTTCCTCGGGCAACTTCTTTGTTTTAAATGACTACCTACGATACAAGTACGAATTTAGCCCATATTATGAGAGAGTCATCATGGCTTGTGGACTATCATCGTCCGCTCTTGATACCTGTTCTCTTGATATAGGCTTCCTCATGCTTGTCCACGATGTGGCATGTAGCTAGAACCTTGGATGGTCTACACAGAACTCTATGAGACCCCTTATCTAGGTAGCTAGGTAGGCTTCTTTGGCTGATGTGAGATACACCTTACCAAACCTTCCCTCAACCATCTTCAATCAGGTAGTGGGCGCGCCACCAAACCCAAAGGGCCTGGCTTTGCTGGCAGGGGAGGTCTTTCAAATTTCTTCAACTTTTCCCAGACAAGTCAAACATACCACACACAACCCGTCACCGTATAAAGGTCATGGCGATAATGGCGAAGGAGAGAAGAACTCGAAATCTCAGAGTGAAAGAACCCCGGCCGTCCTGCAACCGCCGTCGCCAGTCCACCAAGATCGACAAGGGCTTGTCCAAGAGGTAAGTCGCCGCTTCTGTTACCACCTGTACACTCAAGACCAACCAACTCCAGGGACGCCAAATTCAAACGCCGCACCAAATCCCTCAAGAAAGCCATCAAAAAGAACCGCCGCCTAACCGAGCATCTCAACGAGCAGCTGACCCGTCTGACCACAACAATCGAACAAGCCAACACCCACCTGCCTGACACCAGCCAAATCAACAGCGAGATGAGAAATCTCAGCAATGGCATGGGAGTCCTCCTCGGTGGCATGGCAGAATACAAAGAAGGCATGCAACAACTCGGTGACGAGATGCAAATCGCGGAGCACAATCTGGAACTGTTCAGCGAGACTATAAGAAGGCTCTTTGACAATGGCACGGAAGCACTCATGGACGATTTTCAGCCGTCCAAGAGAGATTTTGGGGTGATCTACCGACTCACCGAAGCCATCCGTCAGCGGACGCAGAAGAGTGATGTCGGGCGGGGAATCAGCAGACCTGTCGACCGCCTGTTTGGGTGTATGTCGATCCTCCGCAGGTGTTTGGATGACAGTATGGAAACCCGCCTGAAGAACTTTGAGGGGAGGAAGACAAACCAGTTGTCAAACAAATTGTCTTCATTTGTTACTCGTGAGGAAGGGGCATGCAAGGTTGGAGGAGGTAATGGAAGGCAGAGACCAGGCAGAGAACGGTACAGTTAGCCAATCCATATGCATCTTTTGTTCATACCCATCACACAACCCACTCCCAAGACCACACACCCAAATCAGCACAAAAAAAATCACTTTCTCTATTCCCCATCTTTAAACCTCAATTAAAACGCCCCTGGTATTATTCATTCCCCCAGTCCATCCATTTCAATCCCATATCGTAACCATATTATACACTTCCCCATCCTCTCCCTTCCTCCTGCTCCTAAACCTTGAATCCAAACCCAGCCATACAACTCCTATACTGATCAATGGTCGACAAGCAGTCCTTTTGTGGGTCGGCAGCCTTGGAGAAGAGCATGCACTCGTCGCGCTTGGCCTTTTCGTCTTTGCACACGCAGCAGGGCTATTATTTCTTTTTGTTAACCCCCCCCCCCCCCCTAGCTCAATCGTTCAACAGTTAAACGTGTGACGGACCTTGGGCTTGTCAGCAGCAGCAGCAGCAGCTGACTGGGTGATCACCGGCGCAACCGGGGCGCTGGAGGCTATGAGGGGTGTTAATCACGCCATCCATGAGACAACGAGAGGGGACGGGGAACATACCGATTGAGCTGGCGGTAGCTTGGGCGGAGGACATTTTGACTTTTTTCTTGACGACAAGTGCTTTGTTTGAGTTGGGGGAAAGGAAAAAAGGTGAAAGAAGTCGGGAGCTATCAGTAAACTGAATGAGCAAGTTGATTTGTCAATTGGCGATTTCTAGAACGGTTTTCCCCCAAGCATTGCCGCTGAGCCGCCGCGAAAACGCATGCCAAGACGGAATGGCGTCAGATCTCTCAGCATTTTTTGTGGGGAGCTGGGGGGCAGGGGTGGAGGAGGGGCCACGTGATACCCCTTGGGGTCAACATCTGAGGTACAGCAACATGACTTGGCTAACTTCAATTTCCACTAGTTGACCGAGACATATATATCCCAGTAAACAGCTATGGTTTCCAGAGTTACAGATTCCCTCCCACTTTACTAACACCACCACCATCCCCCTTTCACAAGTAAACTCCCCGACAATCCCAATCCATACTTTCCAACCACCTGTTTCACCCTCCTACACTCACCTGATCAATGTCATCCCCCAGAAAAATCCTCCCATCGCATCACCGCCCTAAAACCCAATCATATCCCCCACCAAAACCAACCTCCACCTCTCCACCGCCTCCCCCAACCTAACCAGCACCCCCGCAGCCAACATCCTCACCCTCTCCTCCTCCCCCCCTTCATCCCCCCCCCTCAAACCCGCAAACACCCCCCCAACCCAATCCTGCGCCTCCACCACCTCCCTCCCCATCTCCCTGCACACCTCCCTCATCCGATCCTCATTCACATCCAGCAACGCCATAAACCCAAACAGCACCGCCCCCGTCAACTGCAAATCCCCCACCGCCTGTGCCCTCACACTCGTATTCAACAACAACCTCCAAAACTCCCCCGTCATCTGCGGCAACGACAGCGTACTAGGTCCAGAAGCGTGGATAATCAACGCCAACGTCTTGAGGTAGAGCGACAAAAGGTAAGGGTTGAATAATATCCCCCTTGTTCGTGACGAGGACGAGTGTAAAGCCGCTTGGAAGCGGGAGATGAGAGGGGAAAAGAAGTATGTTGATAACACACCGGCGGTAAGGTTGGGGATGCTTCGGATTCGGGGCTTGGTTTTGGTTATGTAACGGACTTTCTCGGGGTTGTTCAAGCGCTCTGTAAAAGTGGACAACTTCAGGGCGTTGGGACCGGTGGCATTGTCGGCTGCTTCTGCGGCCATTGGTGCGAGGAAGGCGTCGGCTATGGAAGTGGCTATGCCATCTAGGGCGTTTGGGGGGAGGGGTTCAAGAGTGGATGACGAAGAGGGTTGATAAATAGAGGTGGATTGGGGTAGGTAAAGCTTCTCGACTTTTTCGGGTAGGGTCTTGGACGGGAAGGCGGAGGCGGCCGAGTAAGTAGATGTTTCGAAGCCGGTCAGTTCTCTCGAGGTTAAACCCAAGACGATCAGAACAGAGGCTCGTTGGGAGATGGAGTAATCGCCATCAAAGAATGTTTTGGCGAACCAAGGGGCCATGACCTTTGGCTGGGCGATGACCAGAGCGATCATTCCCTGGAGTCGGAGGTCGTCGAAGTCTTCCATCTCGAACTTGTCGCTTAGGCCGATCAAGAGACCAGCGAGCTCGTCAGAGTGCTCTTTGACCTCTGTTCCGTACTCGGCTTTTCGGCGGATGAGTGTTGGAGCTGTTGTAAGGGCTAACCGCTGAAGGTCGTAGCTTTCTGTGTCACGGAGGTACCGTATCAAGTCCCTGATGTACACTGGGGCCTTTGGCTTGTCCCTTCTGATCAACGTCGGGTCATCATCCGAATCCTCTTCGTCAGACTCAGGCTTTGCGTATGGCACAAGGTCATCCTCCTCCGGCCCTTCTTCATCGCTAAGCTCTTCGATGATGAAGCCGGCCTGTGGATGCTGGCCAGGGGGTCTTGGTGCTGTTTTTGCTGCTTTTGATGGGGATGTTTTCCTCTTTGGACGAATTGTCGGCGGCGACTCAAACAGAGATTCCATGCTCCCAATCTCATCCGAGACCTGTGTCAACCCCTTGTACCATGTGGCCATCTCCTCGAACTCTCCTTCCGTGTTGAAGTTGAGCCGCTTGTCGCCCTTATCGACCAGGTTAGAGAGAGCCTCGCCTATCCACATGCCCAACAAGCGGGCTTTCTGGTGAGGTGCTGTCAGTCTGTTGGAGATGGCGTTCAACCAAACACTGGTGCGCATCATCAAAGTGAGCTTGATAGGTGACAATCGATGTACATAACCGGCGCTCAGCAATAGAACTTCGGCATGGGCTGCATGTAGAGTTAGCGACCAGCCTCCCAGCTGTGACCACTGTGCTGGTACTGACCTTCCTGTTGTAGCATTGGTGAATGCTTGATGTAGAGCTGATCTCCAAACTGACTCAAGCTCTTTTCCAGTACAGCAACAATATCATCCCGGTTTTGAGAGACGACGGCTAGTACTGTTCTCCTGATGCCCACCCCTTCGCCAAGACCGGCCCCTGATGAGCTGGTGAGCCATTCCACCAAGTAATTCTTGAGACTCGTGCTTTCGCCGATGATCGATTTGATTGCGCCAGCAACCGCAGATACTATTGGCTTGCTTTCTTCAGAGTCGCAGTGCCCGAGTCGATCGAGATATTTTGAGGAGAACAACTTCAGTATGGAAAACAACACCTTCCGTTGCTCTGTAGGCGGCAGATTGCTCAGCAGCATGCCGAACTTGGACGGGTCTGCTCCTTTCTTCAGCACCAGTTCTCCCAGGACATGCTTGGTCAAGATTTCTGCTTGTAGTTAGTATATGATAGAATGCTTCGTTACCAAGCAGGAGTCACGTACCACCATGACCCAATTTCAGTCCCTTCGAAAAGAGATCCGAACCGAACTTTGGACTCTCAGTGGCCCCATTTGATAACTGCCAGGTAACAATATTTCTCCCCAACCATGCGGTGTACTGCTGTGCATCTGCCACCCAGATCTCATAGTCCCCATCTTTCGCGGCCTTGTTCGCCTTGACAATACTCTCAGCCTCAGCAGCAAGCGAGACAATCCTGCCACCACCAAATAGGGTCAGGATCTCTTGTGCTCTTGGCCTCATTCGCACCGCTGAAGTGGCAGCATCAGGGCCAGATGACCCTTTGGCAGTCTGCCAAGCCTCGAGAATCCACCCGTCTCCTTTCAGCAAGCCCCCCAACAGGTCCAAGAGAGTTTCAAGGTTGAGATGAATGTCTGGTCTTTTGAGCTTCCCAGGTCCTTCACTTTCGGCTTTGTATTCTTGTATCAAAGCCCGCAGACGGACTAGAATCGCGTTGATGCCTGTGATACTGGAAAGACAATAAAGCAGGAGCTTGACCCCGGAATTCTTGCTGTCTCCAGCATCTTCTTGGAGTAGAATCCAGTGGTTTGTGACGATTTCCGAGACCAATACCTGGACAAGTTGTGCACTGATGGGACTGGGACGCTTGATGCTGGGAATATCATTTTCTGACTGATGCTTGGAGAGAAATCGTAGAGAGGCGATGAGCTCGTCATAGCTAGGTTGTTGTTTCAAGAGTTCGAGAGCATCTTCTGGTGAAGCAGGGGCGGGTTTGCCTGATGTTGCTGTTGAAGATTTGGGTTGAGAGCTGGCGAGGCCTTGTGGTGTTTCTGATTCTTTCTTGTCTGTGATTCGAATGGTACTCACTGGTGTCAAGAAGTCATCCATGTTGAGCGAATGAGAGAGGCAAAGCGTAAACTGGAATTCAATTTTCTAGCGTACAAGTCAGTTATGGACTATACAAGTAGATGAGAGTTCTTAATTACTTTGAAAGTCAACCAACTAGGCCGCCTACCTTTGACCTAGGTAATTTCCAGTTGTGAAGTTGAGCTCCTCCTGAGCTTTCGTTGGTACCTAATCAAGTAGATTGTCAGTGTGTTGATGTAGCAGGATGTAATGCCGAGTCTGAAAGAGCAGCTAAAGCTCAGAATCGAAAGTGAGGTTCAAACCCAAATTCATGTCGGCAGGTCATTCGCAATGAGGCTTGAAACAAGAGCTTACAGCGACTTGCATGGTACAAATGAAGTAAATAGCGGGCCGCTCTCGCTAAAAGGACGCGGAAACGCCATATCGATAAGCCCCAGGGAACAGCTCCAGGCAGTTTCGGCGCATTGGAGCTCGAACCCCAGCTTCCCCTCCAACCTCCAACCCCACCTGAGACCAAACATCACCACCCAAAGTCAACATCACCAGCCTCTGCCCTCCCGACCTTACCATCTTCACATTACCGCAATCACCATGTCTGCCGGGCCGGTCCACCCCTCCTCTGAACCGGCAAGATGGAAGTATCTCGACAGAATACGCACCCGGCCAGGGCCCTTCACCACCCCCGAGATGTTCAGCGGTGAAACGAGCGCAGAAGCCATGGACAAGATGAAGATCCTCGTTATCGGCGCCGGCGGTCTAGGCTGCGAGCTCCTCAAGAATCTCGCCCTCTCGGGCTTCAAAAACATCCACGTCATCGACATGGACACCATCGACATCTCCAACCTCAACCGCCAGTTCCTCTTCCGCCAGTCAGACGTCGGCAAGTTCAAAGCCGAAGTCGCCGCCGCCTTCGTCGAGAAGCGCGTCAAAGGCGTCAAAATCACCCCACACAACTGCAAAATCCAAGACTTTGACGAGGATTTCTACATGCAATTCCAAATCGTCGTCTGCGGCCTCGACAGCATCGAAGCCCGCCGCTGGATCAACGCCACCCTCGTCAACATGGTCGACGAGACGGTAGAAGACAGCTACAAACCCCTCATCGACGGCGGCACCGAAGGCTTCAAAGGCCAAGCCCGCGTCATCCTCCCAACCATCACCTCCTGCCTCGAATGCCAGCTCGACATGCATGCCCCCCGCGCCGCCGTCCCCCTCTGCACCCTCGCGAGCATCCCCCGTCAGCCAGAACACTGCATCGAATGGGCCCACGTCATCGCCTGGGACAAAGAGAAACCCTTCCCCCAGCTCGACAAGGACGACCCCGAGCACATCACTTGGCTCTACCAAAAAGCCCTCCTCCGCGCAAAGGAATTCAACATCTCGGGCGTGACATACTCCCTCACCCAGGGCGTGGTAAAGAATATCATCCCGGCCATCGCGGCAACAAACTCGGTCATCGCCGCGGCCTGTTGCAACGAAGCCCTCAAAATCGCTACCAACTGCGCCCCTTATTTGGGCTACCCGGAGAATAACTACATGATGTACTCGGGCAACGACAGCATATACACGTACACGTTCAAGCACGAGAAAAAGGACGACTGTCCTGTTTGTGGTGTTTCGGCGAGGGAGTTGGCGGTTGACCCAAAGTGGACGCTGCAGGAGCTGGTGGACTCGTTTGCGGCGAGGCCGGAGGCTCAGCTGAAGAAGCCGAGTGTGAGGGCGGAGGGCAAGACGCTTTATATGCAGAGTCCGCCTAGTTTGGAGGAGCAGACGAGACCGAACTTGGAAAAGACGCTTGCGGAGGGGCTGGGGTTGATGGATGGGCAGGAGATTGGTGTTACGGACCCTGCTTTTGCTACGGTTTCGTTCAAGTTTAGGTTGAAGTTTACTTGAGTCTGGGACGGAGATTATCTGCGGTCATTTTTCACATTGGGTTTTGCATGGCGTTGGGGAGTTTTTGGCTTAAAACATGGTGAACATGGTGGAAAGGAAAGGGGCGGGTGGGTAGGATGATACCATTTCAAAGTCAGGAGAGAAGAAGCAGGACCTGGGTACATACACATTTTGCAATGGGACAACGGAACCCCAAAAGTAGAATCTAGAAGTAGACAAATTAGACACTTCTTTTCTTCTGACACCGATTCTCTAATCTTGGCTTTATAAACATCAAAAATAACTACAGTAAAAAAAAGCAAAAAACAACCCAAGCCCCCCCCCCCCCCCCAAAAGAATCTTTTTTGGTAAAACCCCGCCTCCTTGACGCCGTTGCACCCAAGTATGAATGTCTGAATAGTCTAAGATACCGCGCCCCTCCCCTTTTCGACACCTGCGTGTGATCCCTCCTTTGTAGACAAGAAAAAAAAGGGGGTTATCCATCTATTTTTCTGTGCCATCTTCACTCTTTCGCAACAACAACCAACAGGCCTACCTGACCATGTTGACAAGCTGCTTCTCCAGCGCCTTCGCCTTGGCCTTCAAATGCGACACCGACTCCAGGAAAATCGCATCGCTCTTCCACTGCCCGGTGCTTTCCACGAGATAGATGAAATGATCCCGTCTCCTGCCAAGCTTAACCTTGTCCTTGAACTCCTCGTGGCGAAGCGCCTCTCTACTGACGGTGTCGCTCTTTGGGTCGACCACAACAGCCTTCAGCTCTCCCTCGTGGCCCTCATACCCTGATCCCTTCTGGGCAGCCTCCTCTGCGGTCACCTTCTCAAGCCCGATGACGCCCTTGGGGAAGCATCTCTGAAACTTTTCGGCATCCCGGCCGAGGATAGGTTGAGTGATGGTGATGGTAGGCATGATACGGTACGAAGCGGTAGCAACAGGTGAGAACTTGGCATGATCCGATCCCACACCCTTGTGCATGTGCATCTGAACATTGATCTCCTGCCCAGGACGAAGCTTGGCAATTAGTATATCTGGGTTCACCGGCCGAATGATGTCCTCGCCCGAGAAATAATCCACCTGGCGACCAATAGGCTTGAACACAATATCCTTTGCATACACATGCGCATGATGATACAGCTTGGTGGGGTCCGTCTCGTTCGGGTCAGCGTTCTCGTTGTGCTCGCACTTGACGTTCAGCTCGAGCGCGACGGTGTTGAAGTCCTTGCATTCAGCCGGGTCGCCGTTGGCGGGCTTCCGATACCACTTAAGGAAGTCGGTGAGCCCTTCGCGGCCGCCGGTGAAGGGGATGAGGCCCAGGCGGTGGGCGAGAACCTCATCTTGAATGACCGAGGTGTTGTTCCAGACGAAGACGTTTTCGATGGCGAGGGTGGGCACGTCGGCGATCATGATGCGGCGGAAGGCGTTGGCGATGGAGGCGTCGATGCCGATGAGGGAGAAGGAGGCTTCGTGGGGGTCGTTTTGGTGGAATTCGACCGAGAAGCCGCGCTTGAAGCGCTCAATATCCCAGGCGTGGTCTTCGCCGGGGTAGTGGCCGGGGAAATCGGTCGAAGAGACATCGGTTACGGTCTCGAGGTTGACGCCGACGATCTGTTTGGTGAGTGTCAGTTTGGGGTCTTGGAGGTGTTTGATCTAGGCAGAGATGGATGAAGGCAACAGACCTTGCGCTTCTCGAGCTCCTCCTGGGTTGGCGGTTTGTGAGGCATTGTGACTGTTTGGGATGGTTGTGGTGGGGTGTGTGTTGCTGGCTGTCGCAAAGCCGCTGGGAATTTCTTGAGCTCTGGTCGGCTCGCCGCGGCAGAATTTTTGGAATCTCAAATGTTTGGCGGGGACTTTTTGACCGCCTTTGACCGACCCACTGATAAGCTTGTAATAGGAGTGGTCTGTGCTTCTCGAATTAATATTCTGGCCCAATGTTGACATCAGAAGCTCTTTCTGCTATATTTGCAATGAGAAATCAACGATATGAAAACACCGGTACGACTCCGTCGTACTTGCTTTTTTCCCGAGCCGTACTTTCCCAGGTCTCAACATTCAAGGACATTATTATGCCTGACCAATTCTAAACCCTCATTGGCTTCTCACACAGTCCATAGGGTAGTTCACTTGAAGATGTAAGTGAGCATGAAATGAGGCTATAAACAACCAGATACGAACTTTAAATCATCAACACCTCATACCTTTATGTCATGCAACTGTGGGTAGCACAAATACCTGTGACGTCGTGAGGCTCTCGATGAGGTGAGGTTGAAAGTGACATAATTGTCCAATGAGACGCCCCTCAATTGACCCCTGCGCGGATTAACACCCTGCCGGCTCTCGAGCTCCCGTCCAATCAGCAAGCTTGGGCTGGTGCCACTTGCTTTGATGCCAGTGACGGCTTCGACTGTGAAAGAGCCTCCCCACCCATATCCCAAGCTCGCCTCAGTGCTAGCCATTGACGCCGGAGAAGAGGCCGCATCTGCGCGAGTACGCAATCCGGCCCCCCTAACCGACGACACCACTTCAATACCCCCCCCCCGAATCCCCTCAGAGAAATGGCGTCGCTGTACAGGCTCGCCGGCCGCAGCGCCAAGCGCCTCTGTCAAAGGCCATCGTCGCCCTTCCTCACCACCCCGGCCTTCCCTGCTTCCCGCGCCTTCTCCGCCTCGGCCCTCCGAAGAGCTGGCGAGATCACCTGGGAGGGCACCCGCCTGACCCCTACCAACCCCGACTTCGAAGCCGTCGCCGACCCCTACAAGCACATCATCGGCGCCCGGGAGGAAGCCCCCTCAAAAGTCCCTCTCGACACCGAGAACTCGGTCGACGACCGCAAGGTCCGCCACTACACAGTCAACTTTGGTCCCCAGCATCCTGCCGCCCACGGCGTGTTGCGTTTGATTCTGGAGCTGTCTGGTGAGGAGATCGTCCGTGCCGATCCTCACGTTGGTCTTTTGCACCGTGGTACCGAGAAGCTGTGCGAGTACAAGACATATCTCCAGGCCCTGCCTTACTTCGACCGTCTCGACTATGTTTCCATGATGACCAACGAGCAGTGCTTCTCGCTCGCTGTTGAGAAGCTATTGAACGTCGAGATTCCCGAGCGCGCCAAGTTCATCCGCACCCTGTTTGGCGAGATCACCCGTATCTTGAACCACTTGATGTCCGTCTTGTCGCACGCCATGGATGTTGGCGCTCTTACACCTTTCTTGTGGGGTTTCGAGGAGAGAGAAAAGCTCATGGTGAGTTCACTTCTTGACGTTGGCACTGGCATATCACTAGAGAGGGAACATGGTGAAACACAATGCTGTTGTTCGATTCAAATTCCACCGCAATAACTCCTTAACTCCCAGAATGCTAATATACAACCTCTCCTCGTAGGAATTCTATGAGCGCGTCTCTGGCGCCCGTCTCCACGCTGCCTATGTCCGCCCCGGCGGTGTCCACCAAGACATCCCCATGGGTCTCCTCGACGACATCTACCAATGGGCGACGCAGTTCGGCGACCGCATCGATGAAACTGAAGAAATGCTGACGGACAACCGCATCTGGATCAACCGTCTCAAGGGCGTCGGCGTCGTCTCGGCCGCCGAGGCCATCAACCTCTCCTTCACGGGCGTCATGCTCCGCGGCTCCGGCGTCCCCTTTGACATCCGCAAGTCCCAGCCCTACGACGCCTACGACCAAGTCGAGTTCGACGTCCCTGTCGGTGTCAACGGCGACTGCTATGACCGCTACCTCTGCCGCATGGAGGAGTTCCGCCAGTCGCTGAGAATCATCCACCAGTGCCTCAACAAGATGCCTGCTGGTCCTGTGAGGGTGGAGGATTACAAGATCTCGCCTCCCCCCAGGAGCGCCATGAAGGAGAACATGGAGGCCTTGATTCACCACTTTTTGCTGTACACCAAGGGGTATGCGGTGCCGCCGGGGGATACCTACTCTGCGATTGAGGCGCCGAAGGGTGAGATGGGTGTTTATGTTGTGAGTGACGGGAGCGAGAGGCCCTACCGGGTGCACATTCGGGCGCCTGGGTTTGCGCACTTGGGTGGGTTTGATCACATTTCCAAGGGGCATTTGCTGGCTGATGCTGTGGCGGTGATTGGTACGATGGATTTGGTGTTTGGTGAGTTATTTCCCCCTCTTCCCATCTTCTGCTGAGAATTGTGCTAATGAATTGTGCAGGTGAGGTTGATCGGTAAATAGCTGGTAGAGTTGTTGAAAATTCAGTGTTGTTGCATCATCAAAATTTGACCAGTTCCGTTTTTGGGGTGGTAGATCTTGGGTGATGCTGAGTAGGGGTTAGATGGGGAACCTGCATGTTTGTCTTTTCTTCTTGTTGCTGAAAAGGGAATAGATAGACGAGAAAAGGGGAGGGGGGGTTGTGTATATTGCTGTTTCGAGAAGTCAGTCGTCGTTGTCGTAAACGAGTCGCCTTTTTCTCTTTTTTAGGCCGAGAAAGAACGAAAGAAAGAAATACCATGGTCGTGATGAAAATGAACTCAGCGCTGGGGAGGTTTTTGGTGATGATGACGAACTGTAGGGGGCTCTGCTACACTGCTGGGTGTTATTGGTACCCGTTAAAGGGGGGAGTGACGGCTCGAGTAGGTGGTCTGATGCCTTGTGGTGACGGCTGTAGGCGTTTCGGGAGAGAGAAGAAGGCTTGCAAATGGATCTCATAGGCATCAAACCCATGTTGGGAGGCGTGCTGATATGTTGACTAGGCCTGTCTGTAATAATTCGAGGTCTGTTGATGTTGGTTGTGTGCCTCGAAAAGATAATTCGAGGCGTGAAATAAATCGCAATCGGCCTGGTGAGATAACTCAAAGGCGTTGAATTGGATGTTGGAGGCGTTGATCTTTTGTGTAATGAGGCCGGTTTGTTTTGTTTGAGGCGTCCAAAAAGATGATCGAGGCGTGGTAATTTGATTGGGGGGTATGAGTTGCAAGGAGGAAGGGCATTGAGATCTTGGAGGAGGGGAGGGTTGATGGGTGTATCCTGCCGTGTCGTATGGAGAAGGGAGAAAACGGTGAGAGATGTGGAAACGGTGGATGGGTTGGTTCCGCTTCCAGAAGGGGTGCCCTTCGTGTTTTGGGGTTTCTGGTGTAATAGGTTAGGATTATGGGGGACTAGGTTGGGAAGGGGGTTTGGTAAGGTACTTACGATAGATACCTATGCTCCTAGTTACTGTATGCAATGAATCTCTTGTTCCCAAACTAAAAAAATATATATATATATAAAAAAAAGATCATGTGGAATGTGAGAGGGAGTTGTCAGAGAACAGCTCCGGCAGAGTGTCTCCGCTGGGGGACACGGGGGACTTCGACCTCGAGGAGGTTTCTGTCGTCGTTGTCGTCGACGGCGCTCCCGTCTGCGGCTCCGTAGGCCATGTCGGATTTGGAGTCGAGGGTTTGGTCATAGTCGTACTCGATGGTGCCGACTGGGTTGGCTTCGACCACGGTGATCACAATGGTGGGCAGCTCGCGAGGAGGAGCCGGGCGAGGCTGCCTCTGGACACAGTCCTTCCAGGGGGGCATGTGGGCACCGCCGCCGATGGGGATGCCGCAGATTGGTGTTCCGACGTGTTCGACGTGGGAAGGGTCGTCGAAGCTGGAGTAGTCCATGCCTACGACGTGGTAGGGCCCGCCGGCTTTGGATCTAGTCCGAGACTGGCTGTGAGGCTGTAGCCAGGGATAGGCTCCCTCGGGGATCGTGTTGGTGTAGGTTGCGATTGTTGCGAAGGCTGGGTTGGCAACCTGGGGCAGCTGTTGTAGCTGAGGCGGGTAGGAGGCTTGGTATGAGGCTTGGTAGCCTTGAGGCTGTTGGTAACTGCTACTGGAAGCAGTGGGATAGTAGCTTGTCGACTGGGGAGCTACATTGCCGGTCTGAACGTATTGATTGGAATATGGGTCATAGGCCCAACCTTGCTGCGTAGCTGGAGTCGAACTAGGCGCCATGGAGGCGTACTGGGCAATGGTATATTGCGTTTGGTCTTGAGAGAAGCCAGGCTCGCGAAGCAAGAGGCTTTTTTGGCTTCTATCCCTTCCAAGATCTTCTCCTTGGGAGTTCCGTCGATTGAAAAAAGACTGGCTCTTGTGCTGCCCGCGCCTTCTCCCCATCCGCCGATATCCCTGCTCGCTGGACTCGGCAAAGGTCGTGGTAGGTTGGGGTATGGCGACAGAGCCATGGGAGGGCTTCACAGCGCGCTTGTTAAGATAGGACATACCCTCCTCTTTAGGCTTGACTTCGAAGCTGCCAAACACCTTCTCAATCTCCTTGATACGCTGGGCGATGACCTCGGCTTCGGACGTAGAACTACCCAGGCGAGGTCTAGCCACCGTCTTCTGACCCTCGACAGCATCCTCCTGATCTCTCCACCACTGGATCAACTTCCAGTCTTCAGCAGTCAACTCCTCGTCCGAAATCTGAGGATTGAAGGGCCCGAAAACAATCCGGCAGTTGCATTTGCCCGTCTCGTGAAGGATGCGGTGATCAGCTCGCCATTCACCGGCATACAGACTCTTCAGCCGAAGCTGAACATGAGCTGCCCCGTCCTCGGTGATACTCTCACGATAGAGAGGGGGAGCAGAACTGCCTTGGGGAGTGTCAGCGCCAGTACTGATCACCTCTCTCTCCTTACCCTTCGACTTCTTTGATATAGCCGGCTTGACGGCGTCAACACCGGGATCAGAGGACCGGCTTCCAACTGAGCCATCTGTGATAGCCAGCGGAGCACCATCCTTCTCATCATTTTCTTCGGACTCGACGCCATCGGCCCCGATAGCCCGGGGAGTGTTCAAGAGGCCCTGGAATACCACTTCACAGCCACAAGCCCCATGCTCATGAAGCCAACGGTGCTCATTCTCTCTGATGATAACCCAGCGAGAATGGACGCAACGCTCACAGGCCGTGCAGCAGGTCTCGGCGTAGTATGCCCTATCCGGGCGCTTGTCACAGACAGGGTTGACATGCCCTTCTGTCGTCAACGGGCAGGTGACCAACACCGGGGGCGAGCGGTGGGCACACTGGTAGACGATGTACTCTCGGATACACATCGTGAAGGCTTCGCTAGAGCTGGTCAGTGAAGGGCTTTCAAGTTAGGATAGGTTCTGAACACTTTACCTGGTTTTCTGACCGTTGATCGGTCTTTTTCTTCCGCTCGTTGCGGTGTGTAGGCCTGCTTCGTGGCCGGCTTCTTCCGAGAGGCTTCGAATGGGAGATATTAGAGACTACTGACTTCCGAACTGTTGGCAGACTGGCTATTAAGATCAACTGGCTATGATTCCGAAGCAGGACGTGGCCGTGATCGTTTGTTAGGGTAGGTTTCGCAGGAAAAGGGGTCCACTTACTTGGACCACGTCGGTCCCTGTCGGTATCTGTGGGACTGTTGTTGTTCTAGGACGAGAAGAAAAGATTAGCTGACTGAATAGTGAGAGAGGGAGGCCACCGAGGGTCTTCAGTTAGCCACGAGAGGCGTGGCAATGGCCGACCGAGGCTTCTAGACCCATGGGGGGGTCGAGAGAAGTCGACTGGGGAGCTTCCGATGGAGATATCGGTCTAGGTAGTTCAAAGAGGCTTACAATACGTGATCAGAGTGTAGATGAAGTGAAGGGTAATTGAGGATTGTAGAGGGATACTTACAGAAAGGTGGTGGATTGCGAGAGGGAAGAAAAAGCCCCCACTTTCTGGTGGTTGGTGTTGTGTTGTAGAAGGAAAGTCGGGGAATCCTGGACACCTAGGTCAAATACTAGGTCAGTTCCGATCTAGGAACAGAGTAATAGAACGGCAAGAACGTTCCTACCGAAGGAGCCCTTCTATGGAGCACAATAGCTAGGTCAATGGACCGAGAGGCCCAACACGGCATATGCCTAGAAGATTAACTCTGCGGTCCTTGACATGAAATTAGACCTGACAGGGAGGAATAGGAGAGAAAAGGGTAGTTAGTTATGTTTGACCTATCTTCATCCAAGCATTATACTATGCCAGCGTTCGTGAACGAGGCATATCCGTTCTTGAAAGCTATGTTGGCGTTAGAACACGCTGTGCTTTCGTTAAAGAACGCTATGCTTGAGTTCGAAGGCGATTTGCCCTCGCCTGAGCACGCTAAACCATCATCCAAGCACGAGATATATTCGCTCCAGCGCGATATTTGGCCATCGTCCAAGCACGAGACACATACGCTCCAGCGCGACACTTGGGCGTTTTGGAACGATAAGTAACCTCAGCCTCCTCTCTCATATGTTTCTTCTTCATGTTGTAGAAACCAAGAATCCCCAGGGAATCCCTTTAAAGGGCCTTGGTTGATTACACGACAACTGTTACCGTATCCCTTGCTTCGAATGCCGGCGTTGTAAAAATCATTGACTTGCCAGAGCCAACGCTGGCCCAGTGGGCTTAAGGGTAAAATGCATCTTACATTATACTCCAGTTATAACGGACGAGGTAGATGGGTAGCGAAGATAGGGCCGAGACCGCGGTTACTTAGATAGCAAGCTTCTATTTATGAACTTTCTGGTCAACAAAACGCACAAGGTAGCCGGTTCTTCATCTAGAAATACAAACCGAAATAACGAATCAGGAAGGAGAAAAGTCAACACAGTCGACCCAGTGATCAGACCAGCCAGACCAGGTTTTTAAAGAGTAATACCCGGTCAACCACTCCCGTGTCATGGTTGGGTTTAAAACTGCGCTTCAAATCGACATTTTACTCCTCCTGACTATCGACAATTAGCGAGGGCGTTGGAAGCTATGCGAAAGCACCCGGTGTAGAAGGTGTGGGATCAACAAACATAGCCCCATCCTCGACCTACCTACTATAAGGAACCTGGCTCCAAATTCCGTCTTGTCTACTCCGTCAGGTTTGAATATGACTCCTTGATATCGAGCCCGTTAAACAATTGTGCTTTGGAGGGGGGGGCGGGGGGAAGGATTCATAGCTTGAATTGTTGAAATTCAGTCTGTAAGGGTTCGAGAGCGATGTGTTTGGGTTTGCAAATAATTTCGAGTCTGCGTGTGAGGACGATGTATCCATTGCCCGAGCATGCCAAATCTGCATTCGGGAATGTTCTATATAGGTGACCTTGCAATCGTCAGATAGTATGTGATTCTTTAGCAAATTGGCGGCAAAATTAGCGTTTATGGGCGAAAAAATTGTTCTTGCTCACCGGTCTATAGTTAGCACTTGGCCACGCTGCTCTGGGGAAGTGCCCTGTTTGTGATTGATAAAAACCTCCTAAAGAAGCGCTAGGCTGCTGGATGTCTTCTTCAAGATGATATGGGCAAGCACTAGAATTGTTGAACTCAATTCTCGAAACAGTGTAGAGAAACGCTGCAAGAAAAGAGACAATAGTTTCGAGACCGCAAAGAAAATGCTACCTAGGCATACCCCACGCTATTCGGCACCCATCGAGGATATCAAAATTTGAAACTTGAACAAGCCACCTTCAAAAGGGCAGGAGCGATCACAAGGGGCAGGCACGTAATCGTCCGGTCTCCGGCATCTCACTGAAATCGGGCACTTGGACTCGGTATCAACACTCAGCAATATGACTTCCACGTCAAGGGCATTCATCCCATCCCAGATCTGACTCACCACATGACATTCCAGGCAGGGGAGACAGAATGAGGTATTATAATACATATTCAACATAATTGTACAACAGAACTAGGACCAAATGTTGAGAAGCGGGGTATCATAGATCGCCTCTCAAAAGACCTTCATCCCATTCCCGGCCGCCTGGTTCATGACAAAGGTTTTCAGGGGTCCGAGAGCGTTGACGGCGGACAGCCCCAACGATCTCAATGGCACCAGAGGTCCGCTGCCAAAGGAGTACAGCTTGTGGAGCTTATCGCAGACTCCGAGGAGGACGTGATTGGCGGCATATCGTTCAGAAACATATGACTCCAACGACATGCCCACACCGATATCTTGCCCATGTGTAACAGCGTACTCGATGGTCTTTGCGAGACTTTGTACGTCGCCCTGACCTTGGTTCAAACCTTGACCGGCAAGCGGGTGAATGGTGTGAGCGGCGTCACCGACTAGGGCCACTCGTTCGGCAACATAGGTGTCCGCGTGTCGTAGCTTCAGAGGAAAGGAAGCAACTGTGCCTTCCTGGACGCCCGTGACAACCTGAGGAACTGCGCGGTGGTCCACAGGAGTGTGTTCCATTCTCCATGAATATTCTTCCTCTTGTCCAGATTTCTGAGTGTGCATGTATTGCAGGTCAACTGTACTTAACGTGAAGGCAGCATTGACCATGGCGGTGAAATCCTTCGGCGAGAGGCTCTTGAGAAGGGCCGCGTTGCTCGGCGTGGTGGACCAGACCAGTGTAGAGTATTTTCCAGGCATTGGCAGCATGGCAACTGGGCCAGTCGGTAGGAACCTTTGGTAAGCAATCTTGGTGAACTCACCACCCCAGCCCTCACCTTCCAATTCCACAGTCGCTACCACGCCATGGCGGTTGTAATCCCATCCCTTGGCCTCGATATTCGCAAAGGACCTCACAGGGCTGTTGGCTCCATCCGCCCCAACCAGAAGCCTGGCAGAGAGTTGCTTCCCCCCAGACAGCTGTACTACCGGCCATTCCCGCAGATCCAGTTCCTCTGTTTCCTCGCCGTGTGTGATATTTTCCACCCTTGCGTTGTCAAAGGTAGACACTCCACCAAGCTCCTCCAGCCGCTTCAGCAGACCAGACGTCAGATTCAAGTTCTCTGTCATGTAGGCAATTGTTGTTCCGGTATTTGGGGCAGCACCCGCCCAGTCGAATTCGATCCTAGCGCCAGATACTCCATCCCAGACTTGCATCTCCTGATATGGCTGTACCCGGTCTCGGGCCATGTGCTCCCATGCCCCAATCTGCTCGAGAAACTTGACCGAGGAGGGCGTAAGGGAGCTGCATCGATTCGAGAACTTGGTTGGTGGAAGGCTCCATGATCTGATTTTGGAGAGATCTTGGGCTTCGACAAGGGCAACTCGGAGGTGGGAGGTGATGGGGTTTGCGCCTGGAGAGGCTACGGTTAGAAACACCGTTCGGATGGTCAGGAATGTACAGTACGGAAAGACTCACGTAAAGCAGTCAAGAGACTGAGACCAGCAGGCCCTCCACCCACACATACCACATCGTAGATATCCGGTCGAGGGGGAGCACTGGAGTAGTTGCGCCAGAGCGGTTGCCGAGCGCTCCGAACGCAGCTTTGGCACACATATACCGCTCGTCTTCTGAGGAGAGCTTCCATGTTGTCTTTAGAAGCCCAGGTGCTTTCTTGCACCAAACTGGGCCTCAATTGCTGTCAATGCTTCAACAAAAGAAGGTGGGATGAGGTTGCGAACAAGGGTCTAAGCTCCACTTTATGACATTGAGTAGAGTTTGGTAGCCAACCCTAACCCTGGTTCCGCTCGTACTTGGAAGCCATCTCGCGATTCAAACATGGCGATGGCTTTGTGAAGCTGCCAATTCAAGCTCCTTTGGTGGGACTCGCGCCGAGATAAATGATGAGATCCAGTTCAGTGGTAACCCGAGGCCAAGCTAGTGACTGCCGATGCGGCGCGACTGGTGCGTTTCACATCATCACCCGTCCGCAGCTTTCCTTGGTTCTCTTTTCCTGATCCTCGCGTTATAAGCCCGCCAACTCTCATGCGCAGTGCCTCCGGTTACTAGATCTCACAATCCCATCGTCACATCAAATTCATACCAAGCCTCTGTATTGACCTAGTTTTGACTTCGCACTCGGAAACTGCAACAGACGGCCATTTACGACTCCTCAACCACCTATCCAGCTCGCACAACTCACCAACATGTCTTGTACGTTCCTCCTCTCTTCCTTTTACAGACAACGGACAACGGTCTAACAATCCCCAGTCCTAACCACAACCACCAACCTATCCCACTCCTCCACCCTCCCAGAAGGAACCACCCACTCCCTCGCCCTCTCCATGCTCTCAGACTACGAATTCTTCCTCTCCTGCGACCCCGTCCTCGATTCCTTCAAACCCCTCCCACCAAATCCCTCTCCTGACCTTCCCTCAAGTATCACGTCCCAAATCCGAACTGATACCCACCAACAACGGGGTATCTCCTACACCGTCATCGACATTGTACACACCACAATCTGGGACTCCAAAGTCGTCAGCACGTACGAGTTCACCGACATTACCAATGGGGTCTTTGTTCGAATCAAGTCACCGATGGGGATAGTCATGGATACAGTATGGCAAGTTAGGGAGAAGCAAGATAAGAAAGGGGAGTGGGAGCTGGTGGAGGACTTGGAGATAAGGTGTAACCGGCTGTTGGTGGGTGTGGTGAAGGGGCAGTGTGAGGAGGGGTGGGGGAAGATTCATGGGAAGATGATTAAGAGGTTGGAAGAGGATATCAACAAGGCAGGTGGGAAGTGAGTTGTTGAGAGAGGTACGGTAAGGTACCCAGGTAGGTAGGTTGGATTAGGTTGATTGTAACAGAAACTGTTGACGGTCGGAGTTTGGTTTAGCGCCAGAGCAAGTCTAGAAATACAGTCATAGAACCGACTCTACAACCACACTCTATAACTACACTCCATACAAAACTGTACCACTACAACTACCACTCCCCACGAGCCAATAAGCGGCCCCAGAATACCATAGCGTCAATCATCATGAAGCCCAGCAAAGAGGTCGCTCTAGAAAACACACTCAAGCTGCTCCCAAGGAAAGAACGATGTGACACGTGCACGTGAACCTACAAACGGGATTTCCCCGACCCACAACTTTGAAGCTGGCTCAAACTCCGTTTCACAACCGGACGCCCCGTTTTTCCCAAACGGATTGAGGACGCTAGGCCTGTTTCAGATAAACGCCCAATCTGATCATGTCGGTGAGGCACACCTTCTAAGCTGGGAGTTTGGTTCAACAACATTGAAGTGTGGTTGTGTTGTTTTTTTGTTTTGGTGATTTAGGTAAGTAATTGTTTCTGTTTTTCTTTGTGATGAGGGTTGGAAATGGGATTTGGGAGTAGGAGAAAGGGGCGCGCGGATGGAGGGACGGGATGAAAAGAGTTGGGGGATCCGAGCTGAGAATTGAGCCGTGATGGAAAGAAGGGCTGGCTTACAGCCCTGATAGCCTCACGCATCAGGACATCATCGGCAGAGCCCCTCAACTCAACGTTGACGTCATTTGGGGATTATTTGCAATTGATTCATGGCTGACAAATCGACAGAAATCTGTTTGGCGCTCTCACTCTTCTCTTGCCAAAGATTGGGCTTCACAGGGGACGGTCACAACCGCCCTCTTCTCAGAACGCCAAGGCTGGCTACTCTTGCCTCTCTGACAACATCCCAAAGGAGTAGTACACAAGCCTCTGGCTGTTCATGAGGTGGCGATTCTGAAGCTCCCCTCGGTAGGTAAACACTGGGCTCTCGTTGTTCCATCCCAAAGTCGAGAGTCACCTGTGATGTCGACACACCCCGGCCACTAACCACAAGCAGACCAACAACGGCAGTCTTTTATCAACAAACCTGCCATTTTCCACCACAACAGCCAAGATGTCGAACCTCCAAGTACGCAACTCAGACTACTTCTCTTCTGCCACCCGGCAGAAGGCCATGGAGGACGCAAAGAAGATGCAAGCATCCGTCCAAGATGAATGCGTCAAGGCCGGAAAAGAAGCACCGCCATACCTCCTTCAGGAGCTGATCGGGAAGGGAAGCTTTGGTCGGGTGTACAAGGCGACTGATTTGAACACGAAAGCCCTGGTGGCCGTCAAAATCATCGACATTGAAGAGAGCGACACCCTCAACCCGAAATTGGCTGATACCTACAGCGAGTTCATGAAGGAAATCAGCGCCCTCAAAATCCTCAGCGACAGTGGGGCGAGAAACATCAACCTCATTCTCGATGCGCTGCCAGTCGGTCAGGCCATGTGGATGGTGACAGAGTACTGCGCTGGAGGCAGTGTGGCGACCCTGATGAAGCCGACAGCTCCGGGAGGCTTGCAAGAGAAGTGGATTATTCCGATTTTGAGAGAGGTGGCGGAGGCTGTGTATTGGGTGCACAAAGAAGGCATCATTCACCGCGACATCAAGTGCGCCAATGTGCTGGTCACAGAGAGCGGAGCGGTTCAACTATGCGATTTCGGCGTTGCTGGCATTGTTGAAACGAAGCTTGATAAGCGGTCGACCTTTATCGGCACGCCTCACTGGATGGCCCCCGAGCTGTTCGACCCTGTGCCTTCTTACAGCACACCAGTCGACATCTGGGCCTTTGGTTCTCTGGTGTATGAGATTGCGTCTGGTCTGCCTCCCAACGTCATGCAAGGGTTTAACATACCCCAGCTTGGCAATTACATCAAACATAACGCCCCACGGCTGGAAGGTGATCAGTACTCGGACCAGATCAAGGATCTTGTTGCTTTCTGCTTGGTCGAAGACCCAGCAAAGCGACCGACTATTGAGCAGGTTCAACGGCATCCATATATTGCTAATACCGAGGGCACACATCCTACCTCGAACCTTGCCAACCTGGTAAAGGCCTACAAGCTCTGGGAAGGACAGGGAGGCATCAGAAAGTCGCTCTTTGCTCCTGTTGGCGCGCAGGGCCCGTCCGACTACACGTCCACTGCTTTGGCCAACGATGAGTGGAACTTCAGCACGACAGTCGACTTTGACCAGCAGCTCATGAACACTGATGCCCAAGCAGTGTATGATGTCTACGGCACAAACGTGGAGTTTGACTTTAATGAGCAGTTTGCACCCCCTCCCAAGCAGAAAGCGCGGCGTCGCCTACCTCCCCAATTGCAACCAGCCGTCAAGGCTCCCCTCGAGAAGCTCTTTGATCCCAACACAATCTCGGGCTACGAAGAGAACTCTCGTGCGTATTACGGCAGACCCCCACCTCCCCCAACCTCAACATCTGATCTTCCGTTGAGGGACGATTCTCTTCATTCCACCTTGCGAGAGTCCCTCATCGATCTCGACATGTCTTTCGATGGCGATGATCTCTCTCAGTTTGTCGACATCGAAACCAACATGGAAACCATCCGTGCCGGCATGCGAGCTCCCAGCGAGTCAGATTTTGAGGAGAACACCCTCACCGCGGCCGACAGCAACAACAGCAACGACCTGAACAAGCCTCCCCGAAGTGACCCTGCAGACTTCAACCCCAACCGCCGCACCCAAGACTGGAAATTCCCCTCCATGGCAGCCCCCGCATCAGCTACATCAGAAATGTTCCGCTTCCCAGCCATCAGCGAAAACAGACCTGCCCCCCTCGCCCCAGCACCCACCAACGACCGCCCCCCTCTCATTCACCACCAAACCGATCCCTTGGGTATGCACTCAGAGCCCTACGTCGAGCTCATGACCCCCAACCAATTCCAAGACAACCGCGCCTCTGTCGGGAGTCTGATCGACCTTGACGAAAGTCTCGCCATGCCGGAGTACACAAGACCGTCAACCGCCAACAGCGACGTCGCCTCTATGGCGGGATCTGACATCGGCGGCGCCAACCCCTTTGACCTCGAACGCCACGCCTCGCTGTATCAACCCTTCCAAACCAACAGCACCAACGGCAGCTTCGGCGGGGGTGTTGGACCACCGAGCGGCATCAGGGAACCGTCCATTTACATATCTGACGACACGGATTTCTCTCGTCTTAGTCTGGCGAGCGCACCCAGAGGATCAGATTGTGATTCCGGGACTTTAGCACAGCCGCCGCCGAGCAGTGATTAATGGTGGGGGTGGGGGCTCGAGGGCGCAGTCGAGGGCGCATTCGAGGGCGGATAGTTATGATGAGGATGGATAATTCGGCTAATGAGTATGGCGGTGATTCGGAGTATCTGACTATGATGGGTGGTGGTGGGCCGACGGGGGGGAGTGGGAGGAGGTCGAGGGCGCAGAGTAATGCTAGTGTGCAGTTGCAGTTGCCGAGGATGTTGGGGATGAGCGGTAATGGGGGGGAGTATAGTGATAGGAGGGGGGAGAGGATGGTGAATGGGGGTGGGATGAACATGAATGGTGGTGGGATGGGGATGGGTGGCGAGATGCCTGCGCTGCCGGGGCCGCCGAATGCGAGGGTGATGCAGGGGATGGCGAGTAGGGAGGAGACGAGGGAGGATGTGATGAGGTTGTTGTCGAGCTTTTCGGAGCATTTGAGCTTTGCAAATGTGCATGTTTCTGCGTTGCCGGTGAGGGCAGGGCGGAGAGGAAGTGAGACTTATGCTCCTTCTTGAATTGCAGGCATTATTCTGGATGACGAAATAATGTTCACATTGGTATTAAGGTCTATTGTAATCAATGATAATAAACTTGGAAGTTTTGGCAATGTTAAAATGGCTGGTCGTGTGTGAGGATTGAGGGACTCGAAAGATAAAGGTTGGGAAGTGGCAGCCAAGTTTTGAACGCGAGAGGATCATATCAAGAGAAAAATTTCTGAATGACTCAACTTCAGCACTTACACCACAACAACGCGCCTACAACACGTCCTCAAAACACGACTCAAAACGTCTCATTTTATTGAAACAACGTCAGTCAATCGATCCAAATCGACAAATTGGCTCCCTTTCCCCGCCCCAGTCTTTCCTCGCGGTGGTCCGCAGCAACACCCTTCAGGTTCTCACTCCAACATTTTCACCCCACCTTTCACCATCATCACCACCACCACCACCTCACTTCCAAAATGTCAACCACCAACCCACCACCACCACCCCGCAAACTCAAAACCCGCATCCTCACCATCCCCCCCTCCTCCCCTTTAGGATCCTGGTCCTCTCCCAACTCCCTCCAAACCTGGACCCTCCCCCCAACCCCCCTCATCCCCCCCTCCCTCACCCTCGCAGCAACAGCCCTCACAACCTCCACCGCCTCCTCCTTCAGCACACCCGTAGCCTTCCCAACCGAAACCGTCTACGGCCTCGGCGCCGACGCAACCTCGTCAACAGCCGTGAAAGGGATTTACACGGCAAAAGGCCGACCAAGCGACAACCCTCTCATCGTCCACGTCTCCGACCTCTCCATGCTCAGCACCCTTTCCACCATTCCAGAGATTTACCACGAGTTAATCTCCAAGTTCTGGCCTGGACCACTGACTATCTTACTCCCTGTCCCGACCTCCGGTCAGCTGCTAGCCCCAGAGGTAACGGCTGGACTGACCACCTTTGGCGCGAGGATGCCTGACTCCCCGTTGGCAAGAGCGTTGATTCAACTGGTGGGCAAGCCGCTCGCTGCTCCGTCCGCAAACGCCAGTACGCGCCCTAGCCCGACAAAGGCTGTGCATGTGCTGGAGGATTTGGAGGGGAAGATTGAGCTGATTCTGGATGGAGGGGATTGTGCAGTGGGGGTTGAGTCGACTGTTGTTGACGGGTTATGCAACCCACCGGTGGTTCTGAGGCCAGGAGGGGTAGGCATCGAGGAGATAAGACAAGTCAAGGGGTGGGAGGGGGTGGTGAAGGGGTATAAAGACAGGAGCGAGGTCGGGGAGGGGCATAAGCCGAGGGCGCCGGGGATGAAGTACAAGCATTACAGCCCCCGGGCGAGGGTGGTGCTTTTTGAGGGGCATAAACCCGTCAATGTGGGAAAGGAGCTGGAGGGGGGCGGACAAAAAAAGGTGGGGGTTATCAGGACGGGGGAATGGGAGGGGTTGGCTGGGGAGACAGAGGGGAGGATAGAGAGTGAGGAGGGTGGTTTTGCTGTTCGGCAGGGGAGTTTGAGGGATGAGGAAGGGAAGGAGTTGGCCACGGTGTTGGATGTTGATCTGGGACGGGATGTTAAAGGGGTGGCTCATGGGTTGTTTGCTGCTTTGAGGGAGCTGGATAGGCTGGGGGCTGATATCATTTTTGTGGAAGGGGTTAGTGATGGGGATGATATTGCTGCTGCGGTTATGAACCGTCTTCGCAAGGCAGCATCCGAGATTAGGCCTTAACTCAGAGTCAAAAGGCGAACAGACATCGATAGACACGATCTCCCAAGAGAATACACCTCATCAAAATTCTGCCCACACTATACTCACTACTTCATACGGTAATTTTTTAAAAAGGACCCCGAATTCATAATTCTAAATATCAGAGACGCCTGCTTAACCCTCCCTTATTCATTCTCCCCCACCCAACAACATTACATGACCACAATAATGGCCTCCAATCTACCGCATCCACTCCAAAATCTTGGACTTGCCTATTTGCGCCAAGTTGTTCATGCCCTGCTCGGTGAAGGGGTCGATACGCCCCAGGTTGGTGTCTTGATTTGGCGCCTTGGAGCACCGCTGCACGATGATAGTCGGGTCCGTCTCCAAGACCACACCATCATCAACAATCTCGTCGATGGCGAGGGAGACGAGGTCGTAGTTCTCGATGATGGTGCGCTTGTCGACCGACTGCTTGAAGAGGAGGTGGAGGGCGTCGCGGAGGGCGAGGAGGACGTTGTAGAGGAGGATTTCGTTTTCTTCGACGCCGCCGACGACGTAGATTGCCACGTCTTTTGATTATCTGTCAGCATAGCTGCTGAGAAGGGAGGGGAGGGATTTAGAGACAGGACATACCAGCCTCCATCTTATAAAGCACGATCCGGTTGTCGAATAGAAGGATGTCTCCTGTTTGCTTGGCCGTCTTTTGGAGGAGGGCCTTCTCGAAGCGGACTTGGGCCGTCTTGTCGGCGAAGGGGTTCTGGGCGGAGGCGGGGGCGGCGGTGCTGGAGGGCTGCTGGTTGGCGGCTTGGTGGGGAGGGTTGTACCATTTGGAGAAGATGCGGGAGCCGTCTTCGCTGGAGAGGATTACTATCGTCGGGGGCATGGCAAGTCAGCTTCAGGAGTAGGTGTGCTGGAGCTTTGGGAAAGCTTTACGGATAGCGTTGACGCTGTACAGCGACATTCCTGGGGCCATTTTGGCTGTGTATTAGTGGGTATCTTATGGTTCGCGGTGTAGGGTGAGGGTGGTGGAAAAGGGGTATCTCGTTCGGGGGCGGTGGTATCGTCGTCGTGGATGTTGTTGCTTGTGGCTGATGATGTGAAGCTGTCCACACAATGGAAATTGTGGGGTCCAACTTTTAAAAGGGAGCGGCTCGCTGATGTGGCTTGAGCTGGGTGTCCCCACATTTTAAACGGCACGTACCTGGGCCAGGGGTTTAATGGATTGGGAGGCCCCGCCCCCCCCCCACTTCCCCTTTGACAGGCTGAGACGCGTAAAGTGGTTTTTTTTTGCTGGACGCGTTTTCGCGTTGCTCCTTTTCTCATTCCAACACCCTGAAGTTCTTCAGAGTCCCACTCTGGGTTTCCTAGGAAACACCTTCATCCCACCGCTGCCAACACCCCCTTCAACCACCATATCGAATCCTCGTCTGTTGTAAATCATTGGTCTTATTTTTTGTGCCCCCAAATTCAGTCAAAACAGACGACAGAGTACAACTTCAAAAATGTCTTCACCATCGAAGCGGTCAACGCGCAGCACCAGGAGTTCCCAGGCTGCTCAGAGCAGCCCCGCTGCCGAGAACTCGAGAACTCCCCGCCAGACTCGGACCTCAGCATTGGCCTCAAGTCCTATGGTATACGATTCCTCCTCTCCCAACAATGCGCCCTCGTCGCCTCTCCGCCAGATGAGCAACACTCAGAGCACCGCCGGAAACAATGCCGCCAGCTCGCCCTTGCGCCAGCAGACCGAGACGCAAAGCACTGGTGATCGCACACCTCGCGCAAGCGGTCGTGGTCTCTTGGTTGGAGGTAAACCGCTGAAAACAATGGCTTTTCTTTACATTCAAAGCTAACATACCCCTGACAGACTCGTCCCCTATCCGCTATGATGAATCCAGCCCAGGGCCCAACCTCACCCAGCAGTCGGACCTTCGCAGTGAAAGCAGTGCGCTTTTCGTAAACGAGCGCACAAGACCTTCCCGGTCTCACCGTGGGGATATCAACCCAGATGTCATTCGCACACCACGCATGCCACGCCGAATTATCTTGGATGACGCAGGCCGAGTCGTTCGTGATGGCTCTCAAGTCGGGTCCGACGCCGCTTCCTTCTCCAACAACAACCCCAACACATCTGAGGCAAACGCCCTTGGTGGCATGAGCCAGGGTCTCGTATGGGGTACCACCGTCTCACTTGAAGACTCCTTCGCGGCCTTCAAGGACTTTCTCCGAAACTTCACCAAAAAGTATCGCATGTGGGCGGATGGCGCAACCGAGGCTGACACCATGGGGAACCCCGAGGCGGATTCCAAACCATATTGGGAGGCTTTGGAGAACATGTTGTTGCTGGGCAGCAACAGGTTGTACCTTGATCTTCGTGATCTCAAGGCGTACCCGCGAACGCTGAAGCTATGGCATCAAGCCCAGGCCTACCCCACCGAAATTGTTCCAGTCATGGATCAATGCGTGCACGACTTCATGATTGATCTTGCGCGCGCTGAGATGGCTAGTCAAAGACAGGCCTCTCTTGCTGGTGGAAATATGCCCAACTCTTCCCAGAGCTCTGATCTGAACTTCCCCAGTTCTGATCGTGGGGAGGAGCCATCAACTCCCAGGCCTACCCAGGGACAGCAGATGACCCTTGAAGACCAGGTCTCCGCGGAGACGTATGTTGTGCGCCCATTCGGTATCGAGAAGAATACCAACCTGAGAGATCTCAACCCTTCAGATATGGACAAGCTTGTCTGCATCAAGGGTCTAGTGATCCGTACCACGCCTGTGATTCCCGACATGAAGGACGCTTTCTTCAAGTGCAGTGTTTGCGGACACTCCGTCACCGTTGAGTTGGACCGTGGCAAGATTCGGGAGCCGACTGAGTGCCCTCGCAATCGTTGCAAGTCCAAGAACTCGATGCAGATTATCCACAATCGCTGCACATTCACGGATAAGCAAGTAATCAAGCTGCAGGAGACTCCTGATGACACGCCTGCTGGCCAGACGCCTCATTCCGTTTCCATCTGCGCTTACAACGAGCTGGTTGACTTTTGCAAGGCCGGTGACCGTGTAGAGATTACGGGTATATACAAGGTTACTCCTGTGCGTGTCAACCCTCGCATGCGGACGGTCAAGAGTGTGCACAAGACGTATGTGGACATTGTCCATGTCCAGAAGGTCGACAAGAAGAGAATGGGCAATGACCCTTCTGTTCTTGACTTGGCTGAGGAGGAAGAGGCCCATATCAGCGGCCAGAGTCTTGATGAGATCAAAAAGATCTCGCCAGAGGATGAGGCCAAGATCAGGGAGACTGCTGCTCGTGCCGACATCTACGAGCTTTTGTCCCGGTCTCTCGCTCCATCAATCTACGAAATGGAGGATGTCAAGAAGGGTATCCTCCTCCAGCTGTTTGGTGGTACCAACAAAACCTTTGAAAAGGGCGCCAGTCCCCGCTACCGTGGCGATATCAACGTCCTGTTGTGTGGTGACCCTTCAACGTCCAAGTCTCAGCTTTTGGGTTACGTCCACCGCATCGCCCCCCGCGGTGTGTACACCAGCGGCAAGGGTTCCTCTGCGGTCGGTCTTACAGCCTATGTCACCCGCGACCCAGAGACCAGACAGCTGGTTCTCGAGTCCGGCGCCTTGGTCTTGTCCGACGGTGGTGTGTGCTGCATTGACGAGTTTGACAAGATGAACGAGTCCACTCGCTCTGTTCTCCACGAAGTGATGGAACAGCAGACCGTCTCTGTCGCCAAGGCAGGCATCATCACCACCCTCAACGCCAGGACTTCCATCCTAGCCTCTGCCAACCCGATCGGCAGTCGTTACAACCCTGACCTCTCCGTCCCGCAAAACATTGATCTTCCCCCTACCCTACTCTCCCGTTTCGATCTGGTCTATCTCATCCTCGATCGAGCCGACGAGAAGCAAGATCAGCGCTTGGCTAAGCATTTGCTGTCCATGTATCTCGAGGACAAGCCTGACTCGGCCCACTCCAACAATGATATCCTGGTATGTTCATCCCTCTTTCTCCATCTACTTCCTCCCGACTAACAGTCTCCAGCCAATCGAATTCCTCACCTCTTACATCTCCTACGCCCGCCAAAAAGTCAACCCCCAGATCTCCAACGAAGCCGCCAAGGAGCTCGTCGACTCGTACGTCGAGATGCGCAAGCTCGGCCAGGACGTCCGCGCCGCAGAGAAGCGCATCACGGCCACCACCCGTCAGCTCGAGAGCATGATTCGTCTCTCTGAGGCTCACGCTCGCATGCGTCTCTCCGAGACGGTCACTCAAAATGACGTAAAGGAGGCCGTGAGGCTGATCAAATCCGCCCTCAAGACGGCGGCGACGGATGCGCAGGGCAGAATCGACATGAGTCTCCTCACTGAAGGCACGTCGGCGGCGGACAGAAGGAAGAAGGCCGAGATCAAGGACGCCATTGTCAGACTGTTGGACGAGCTGACTGCCGGCGGGCAATCAGTCAAGTTCGCCGAAGTAGCCAGGAAGTTATCAGATGGTGCCAGCGTGCCGGTGGAGTCGGCCGATTTTGCCGAGGCGATGAGGACGCTAGAGATGGAGGGTGCCATCATGGTCAGTGGAGAGGGTGCGAGAAAGAGTGTAAGAAGGGTCACGGCTCAAGTGTAACGCCTTTCTGACGGGGATAATTTCCAACTTGTTATTTTTCAAATGAGAAAAAAAAAACAGCTATCAACAACGCCCCCCCCCGCCTTTCAAACAGAAACGCAAAACTAGGTATAATGACGAAATCAGAAATCTTTTCTCCTCCTCATGATCAATTCGCCGCCGCCGTCCCATTACCCACATTGACCACCGTCTCCGTCATGCTCCCCCTATCCACCTCCTTTCCCTTGTCAACCTGAGGTACTGCCGCCCCAGAGCCGGACACCTTACTGTCCTCCTCCTCCCCCAGCAGCCCACTAGGCCTCCAATCCCTGAGATCATCCTCGGCATCATTCAATATCTGCCTCGCCTGCCCAGCATGAGGATACGCCGGTTTGACATCCCCCGGCACGACAGGTGTATCATCCAACAATTCCAACAACCTCAACCCATGCCTCGCAAGAATAATCTGCTTATCCGCCCGTTCAATCGTAGCCAAAAACTCGGCCTGGTACGCCTCCTTCAACTTTTGCCTTGTCTACCACAATATCAGCACACTATCATCATCAGTGCTTATCAGGGGAAATACATACAACATTACTCAACTGCGCCTCAGCAACCAACCCCTCAGCCTCAGCCCTGACAAGCTCCTGCTCCAACACCACCAATTTTGTCGACTGCGGCTCCCTACTCTTCAACTTTGCAATCTCATCCCCGATCTTCTTCTTTCCCTCTCTTGTTGGTTGGACGCTTCGTTCGGTGTTTCTGATCACCTTGAGCGCTGCGCGCGCGTCGTCGAGGGCGTGGGCGTAGTTGTCTTCTTGCTCGCCTATTTCTGAGAGGAGGACGCCGATTTTGTCCGAGATGTCGGAGATGGAGTCGTCTTGGGTTGCCTCACCCCATTCAGAGAGCTGGGTTGCGATGGAGAGGCGCTCTTTGGCTGCGGATTCGTGGTGGGAGGTGAGGGAGGAGGAAGATTTGAGGAGGCGGGTGAGGCGTTTGGAGAGGTCGGGTTGGGTGAAGGTTGGGGAGCGGAGGGAGGGGAAGGAGAAGGGTTTTCGGTGGTGTTGGGATGGGGTGGAGGTGGTGGTACCCGTGGAGGAGCGGTATTGGGAGCGGATTGAGAGGGCGCGGTTCCTGGAGGAATTGAGCGTGTTAGCAATCGTGGGACTGGTTTTGTGGTGGCGGCGTGGGTACCACTGGGCAAAGGGGTAGAAGCGGTTTGTTTCGTTGCTTTTGCGGGACATGATTTCCGCAGATGAATAGTAAACGGTTTGTGAAAAAGGGATATGTGACTTACAACATGATGCTGGGCTTAGGCTCTGTGGTGTGGAACTGAACGTATTCGGGACTTGGGTCGCAAGAAGAGGTCAGACTTGCTCTTTCCTCAGTAAACACGAGGATATGTCGGCAACCCAGCAGGATACACAGGTAAAGAATAACACAGGGGGGTATCAGTATGCACAACGAACTGCTAAATCATCAATCGTTTGCTTGCTTTCAGAGCGTGAGGGTAAATGGGTAATCAGGTTGTGGTGTACGGGATAAAGACAATGGTGGTTCGTGATGACCGCCCGCGCAGCGTAGTGGTATATAGATAGCAGCAGTAGGCCATAAACGGTCGCTCATCACGTCACTTTACATGTCTGGCTCAGGCTAGTAGAGCAGTCAGTTTCCCCAAGCCTTCTTCTGAACTCTCACGGAAACCCTTGGTGCAGATGTCGTCAGAGCTTTGGGATGAACAGGAGTTTGTAATTTCAGTACCTACACAACAACCCTTTTTTTTCTAACCCCATTCATGTATGTTCCTGTATGAATGGCTTCTCATACCATCGAAAGTCATCTCCCTCATGGAAAATATCTGTAAAGCTGTCTTAAACAAAGCATGTAGTGTAGAGTTCCATGTGACGTCATCCCACCCAACCACATCCCAGCCCCACCAAAGCTCTGCTCAGATCGAAGATCATTCATTCACCCCAACCACAGAACCACCTCCTCGGTTCTTGGCATCTATCCCCATCACCAGACCAGATCGATCACAAGATGAGACGAAGACAGATTACCTTCTCATGTGGCTTGTAGGGTAAACAACCCTCATTATTATCCCGCCTATTACGGAGTAGCTAGCCAACCAGTCTATCTCAAACGAAGCCCATCCAAGCCAGACATGTACCCAAACATTTATTCATAACATCGTGATATCATCCTCCGCATAACCCATACATCCCCGTCCCATTATCACAAATGGATCAATACCTCCTAGTAGTCTCAACCCGACTACTACTCCTCTCAATCTCCACCACCCTCTCCCCGTGACTCCGCCCTCTGCTCTCCCCCCTATAGCTCGTCATGCTCGCCCTCGGACTTGGAACAATAACTGTCGTTCTTGTTGTTGGCGGACACAGATAGGTCCCGCTCGTTCGAGGCGAGACATGATGGTGGTGGTGGTGGTGAGAAGAAGAAGAAGGGTGGTGGTGGTGGTGGTGGTGGGGGTGTCGGCTGCTGCTCCTGCTGTTGTGGTGATGGTGGTGAGAGGATGGCCGGCGGGTGGGGACGATTTCCTCGTGGTAGTAGTATTTTTCTGAGGAGGGGGTTCCGAAGCACATGTTTTCTTCTTGAGGGCCGAGACTGAGTGATGGAATGTTTGTGGCGAAGACGTATGGTCTGTGTATGTGTGTTTTGTTTGATGATTATACCCGCAGACAAGGTAAGATGTGGAAGCTGAGATGGAAGAATAAAAATAATGAACAGACAAATAAACTGGAAGGTCAGGTTTATAAACACTTTTCTCCCTCGCCCGAAATACCCCAAGACCCTTAATAAATCAACTGACCAGATCCACCATCCCAGACAGAGAGACACTGGGCAACATCCGAAAAGAAAAAGAAAACAAGCCAGCATGCAGGGACCTCGAGGGACCCTGACGCACCACCCGTCTTGCTGCATGCTCACATGCCTTGCTTTCCTTCCCCACCAGGCCCCGGGGCTCAGCATGCAAGATACAAGGCCTCACACTCATATGTAGCCTTACCAAACACCCTTCAAAAGTAACACTGCATGAATTATACGAAGGTTGATCTTCCAACACGTTGCAAGTCGGCCTTTGACACGAGCGGACAAGGCGACGTGGTAAGATAGTGGATCATCTTCTAGACAACCGACTCACCATCTATTCAAAAGCAAAAATAGAAACACATGCTCAATTCAATAGAGCATCTCGAGAATGTTCCCTTCTACAAATCTCACCCGGGTGGTCGGCTCAACGATGCCCCCCACCACGACCCAAGATCCACCATTCCAACGCTCCAGAGATCACCCCACCAAAAGATCTCCACCACCACCCAAAAATAAAAAATGAACTTTGTAAGTTGAAAAAGAAAATGCCGCCAAAAGATATAATTCTTTGATTTCGTCCAGGCTCGAACTGGAGACCTTCAGTGTGTTAGACTGACGTGATAACCAACTACACCACGAAACCATTGCTTATTATTGAATGCCTCTTCCACTTTTACTAATATCAAAATACCACGGTCAAGCACCACTCACAACATCCCCATTACATCCCTTTTCAACCCTTTTTTTTCCTCTTAATAAACCAACACTCAATACAAATACACATTTATTCGCCTTATAATCAACCTCAATACCAAACAAACAAAAGCTTTCAAAATATCAACCCCCTCCCATTTTTATTATCCCCCCTTTTCCCTCTCCATCTATTTCTTAGCAGCAACATGGCCACTCGACGCAAACTTCAACTCAATATTCCCCACCAACCACACAGCCACAAAAAAGGCAATAGCACTACTAAAGACAATAACCGGCTTGCGCAGGCTGGCCGAGAGAGGGTAGTCGTACGACACGACCAGCTCCCGATCCCTAAAGTCATCCACCAGGTTCCTCGCCTTGATCACCAGCGCCGTCCGCCCAATCGTGTCCAAAAAGGTCTTGTGGATCTCGACGTCGGCCGAGGTGATGGATTGGGTTGGGATCGAGGTGACGTACTTGACGTTTCTGCAAAACATACAACAGTCAGTATTTGAAGTCAACAGAGGGGGGTGACAAAGGGGAAACGTACTCAGCACCCTCAGGCAAAATAACCCTGACCTCGACCTGCTCATACTCCACACCCTCATTCTGCTTGGGCCCCTCAAGAAAAGGCACGTTCAGCACGAACCCTCCGGCTGCCGTCTTCCTCAAAAAGTTCTTCGCATCCGAGTTCCACCCAATGGTAAAGGGGTACTTCCAGCCGCCAAAGACAGGGTAACGAGGCTTGATCTCAAGCGACGCCTCCCGCTTGTTGCTTCTGAATCTCGAGGTCGACACATTGCCAATGACGTCAGTGTAGTAAGGGTCAACACTCCCAACACGAAGAGGGAACTTGAGCTCCTTCAGCGCATGGGTATTGCCCTGCTGGTAGTACTGCGACTGCTGCCACTTGACCCTGTTGAACAGCGATGAAAGGTTGGCCCCGCGGTGGTAGAGAGTATAGCGCTCCTCAAAAGCAACATTTCCACCCCAGTGGCTGACCTCAATGTCCCGCTCCAGACGGGCAACGTGAGTGACTGGCCTGTTGAACTCGAAACGGACGCGGATGGGCTCGTACGCGCCGGCGGGCTTCTCGTCAAAGGGCCCGTAGGTGAGCTTGGTGCCCTGCTTTTGGGGGAACTCCTTGATGTCGCCGCTGCCTGGGAGCTTGGTGTAGTCGGGGATGTTGGCGGAGGGGAACTTGACTTCCGTCTTTTGCTTCGAGGTGGTGTACACCGAGGGAACGTAGGCGGAGAAGGTGTAGGTGAGGAATTGGGCCTCCTCCTGCTTGATGGCGGCGGGAAGGGGCGAGTACGCCTTGAGGATGTAGTAGCTGATGCCGAGTGTCTGCTGTGCGCCGGGGGCGAGGGGCTTGGGAAGTCGGATGCGGAGGTACTGGGTGTCACTTTCGGGGTCGAACTCGACGTTCTCGGCGACGAATGGCCCGGCGCTGGTGTCCTTGCGATCCTTTACCTCGACGCCACCGAGGCGCGAGATCTGATCGGCCGTGAAGGGGAGGTAGTATTCATTCTGTGGCTTCTTGTCGATATTTTCTACGACGACATTGATGTTCTCCTTGACGTAGTTCTTCTCGACGGAAACAACGTGGACGAGGTTGGCGTTCTTGAAGACCTGTGGGGGCTTGAAGGTAGACGGGAGTGTTGATTTGGAGCTGCCCTTGTCGGAGCTGGCGGCCGAAGCTAGCGACAGCAGCGAGAGAAAGGCAGAGAAGACGGCTGATGTCTTCATGTTGTAAGAGAAAATGACATGTGCCCGCCCAATTGAAGAAATTCCACTGTCGACTTACTTGTTGGACCCTCAAGAGACCCTCCTGAGCATCACCGTGGCCTTCTGCCAAACAGCTGTCTCCGAAAAGCTTACGTTGCTGAAACACCCCTGTCCGTTTTGCCGGCTGGGACCCACAGCTTCCCGGACTGCCAAGAGAATCCGACATAGCTTACATAAACCACATCTGGTGTAAGTTGCGGTTCACTTCACTTGAACTTTTCCAGTTTCACCATCGACCTTCCTTCCCATGCGAGGCAACCGCGACTTGCATCATGACGAAGCTTCCTCGAGCGGAAGGGACTTCCCACGGATTCATCATGAACCTATGGGAATCCATTGTGGCTTCTTCCGCTCTTCTGCTCCATGACCTCTCCCGTTCACACATCAGCATCAGGCCCGGATGTCACTATCATCACTCCTCGTACCTTCATTCGTCCAGGATCAACACCAACATCAAACCATGTCTCCGCCTGCGAGATCGCACCTCAGGCGGAGGAGACACATACTCCCAGCGATCCCGTTAGCACTAGATTTCAACATCTGGGCGGATCATCAGAGGTCCTCGACGAGACCCCCACCAGAGGAGATCCAATACCCAGACCTGCAACAGAGGGTTCAGACACAGCATGAAAAAGTTCTGCAAACTCGGGGCATTCATTACCTCAAGTCAAAGAGTCCCGTGTTATTCAAAGACTTCCATTCTCAACTCGCGGATGCAGCACGAGAGGAGATTCTTGACGACGTGTTTGGTGATCGGTATTGGACTCATGGCGAGGGGGACACATCATCGCTTATCAGAAACTAGAGGTTGTTCGGCGTGAGATCCGGGAATAGAGTCCCTTCAGAGGACTCCCCCTCAGCGAACGCCTCGTCAGAAGACTCGGAGAAAGCCACCTCACAAGACTCACAGAAACCCCCCTCAGAGAAACCCATCTCGGAGGAAACCCCTTCAGAAGACTCGGAGAAACCCACCTTGGAGGAAACCCTTTCACAAGACTCAGAGAAACCCACCTCAGAGGAACCCATTTCACAATACTCGGAGAAACTCACCTCAGAGGAACCCATTTCACAATACTCGGAGAAACTCACCTCAGAGGAACCCCCTTCACCACACTCAGAGAAACCCCCCTCAGAGAAACCCTCCTCAGAGAAGCCAACCCCAACAGCAGTAGCCTCTGCGGAAAATATGAAGGTGATGGATAAATCTATGGGGAATAGAGACATGATCCCGGTAGAAATACAAGAGTGGCTCAAAGCCAATGCTGTGGGCAACGGCGATAAAGCCTGGGCAAAGGAGCTAAAGAGGGCAATGAAATACAGCAAGGCAAAGGCATTAAAGGAGAAAGGCGTAAAGCTACAAGCCTCTGTTCTAGCGAAGCTCATCTCCTACCTGCCCCGATCAGGAGAACCTACTGGCCAACCCGCCTGGCGCAATCTCGATCCTAACCCATCAGGAGAGCCCACCAGCAGCAGAACAAAGCTCACGTTCAACAATCTCAGAGCCCTCGTACATGACACTCACGATATCACTCTTTTCCTTGGACAAAGTATTAATTGCCTTGTATGGCACAACCAATCCGCAGCAGACCGCTACGCAAACCGAATCAACGCCTGGCTCGACTCCCTCTCCGCAGAATTAGCCAGTAAGCACGCTGTCCTTCCACCGGGGGTAGGATCAAGCGTAGGATCCCAGTCAGGACATGGTTCCTCCATCTCTCACAGTGTCCGTTTTATCGGGGCCCATCCTGCCAGTGTCGATAACTCGGAACAGTCAGCCCCGTTCCCGTTCTCTATCAATGCTGGCGGTTCGTTGACGTCGTCTGGGGCACGCAGGTTGAGGGCAGATGTTGGGGAGACGAATGAGAGGGGAGCTGAATGGCAGGATAGTGTGAACGAGTCTGCCATGGGTGGTGAGTACGAGTACTCACCGTCGGAAGAGTGGGACCATACGCCTTCGTCTGGTTGGGGGCAGTGGGGGGAACCGCTGGAGAATTCGAGGGGGTACAGCACTCCGAGCAGGCAGACGGATACGAGGGTCGCGCTATTGAAGTGCGCGTAGGGAAGCACGTTCCCGGAGAACCCTCCTACACCATTTTTGAAGATGCTGGATGACCATCTGCCTGACGCGCTGTTGGCGAACGGGCTGCTGCCGACGGTGTTGGTGGATAGAGCGATGGAGGCGGGGTGGGAGGGGAGTGAGTGGAATATCGGTCTTGATAAAAGTGATTGGGTTAGTCTTGGACCATCAGAAAGCGACAGTCAAAGAGGGGGAGTAGAACCAAGCAGACGGGCAGGAGGGCCAAGTCGTAGAGGAGGAACAGGCCGTGGAGGGGGAACGAGCAGTGGAGGAGGAACAAGCAGTGGATCACCTGATGCTAGTGGGGAGGTACCTGATCGAGGAGGAGGAACAGGCCGTGGAGGAGATATCTGGCCGTGGAGGAGGAACAGGCAGTGAAGGAGGAACAGGCAGTGAAGCATGTGATACTTGTGGAGAGGTGCATGGTCGAGGAGGAGGAGGACCAAATCGGGGAGGAGCTAATGGCCAGAACCCTCAATTTGTGTTTCAATAATACCAACCACGTGCGCCAGGCCCAGTCTGTTGCTCTTCTTGACGGTGCGGTGCGGTATTATAGCAAGTGGTGGAGAAAGAGGGCCAGGTAGCGAAGAAGGGATGGCGAGCGGAAATTCTTCAAGGACAGGTTTACCCTATGGTGACTTTTTTATCACTTGAAAAAGTCCCGGCGTGGTGCTTCGAGAACAAGCTTGTCTGGTCAGACTGGAAAGGAAAACACCACGGACATATTCTCACCTCGAGGGCGGGAGAGCGTTGTTGGTTTCATAACCAGAGTAGCGATAGGTCAGCGTTTGCGGGTATATATGGATTATTACAACCAGCTATCATCTCATTTTGAAACTCACCTCGCGGTTTTTCTTGTCAAACATAGACTTGTCGACCTAGCAGTTGTGTATGGTATGACCTCGATGTCGTTGCTGAATGAGAAAAGTGATATACCTCTGATGATGACCCAAGGTAAGGTAGCTTAACTACCTACATCCACCCACCAAAGCCAGGAAAAGGTAACCATAATAACAGCAACATTAAACTCTTTTATTAAGTATCCCCTGAATCTAACTAATCCCCTGAACCCGGATGGAGCTACCGAGGAGATCAGGAGACACAGCAACACACAAACCTCGTCACTAAATTGGTTGACGTACGGCCTTATTCAAGACAGCACAGCACAGCACAGCATCATCACCCCCCACCCCCTTCATTTATGCCAACCACCACCTCACAAATCACCACAGTATCACATTTCATCAAATGACCATCATCACATCACTCCCCAACCAGTAGTAATAATCACCAGCAGAATCAAACTTTGGTTCCCTGAATTATAAAAACCTTTGCTACCAACACACACACACACACAACACACCCAAAAAAAAAGACACCGAATCCCAAACACAACAAAGAGGGGAAAAAAAAAAAAAAAAAAAAACGAAACCCGCCAGAACACAAAAAAACTCCATCCCGCGCCACGCCACGCCATAAAAAAGGGTTGTCCCTATAAAAGATATACGGAGAAAGACAACACCAAACAACACAGACAACAGAACAACAACAACAACAACAACAACAACAACAATACAGACTCAAAAAGGAAACTCCATTTTTCTTTCTTCCCCCCCTCTACCCCCCCAATCTCGCTCGCTGACACAAAGTAGCCTAACAATATTCTCAAACCAAACCAAACCAAACCAAATAAAATATCATGCTCATGCTCAATCAATACCCCTACCCCCCCACTTCGACCTCCTCTCCAACCCCCTCTTCCTAATCCTCCTCGCCCTCCCCCTAAAATCCCAATCCCAACCACCACCACCCACAAACCTCTCCCTCTGCATCCCCGCCCACCGCTCCATCTCCCCCCTCCTTTCCAGAGCCTCCTCTTGTCGCTGTAAAGGCCCCACAAAAAATTCCTCGTACTCCTCTTGCTTGTCAAAAAAGTCCACCATCTGTTCCTGTTGCTGTTTAACAAGTCTCTGCATTTCTTCCATCTTCTGCTGGAGTGATTCTTCCAACTCTGCCCCGTCACCACCGTGATCACAAGTGCCCTCCTGGTCATCAGACTCCAGATGGCCTCCTCGCAGTCTCAAGCCCTTTAAGTCATTCACCCACGGCCAAAATTCCTAGTAGTTTGATAATGCCGGCATGTGGTCTGGTGGTAAAGGAGAAGGCCGTAACAATGTCATGTATTCCTCCCTCTCAATGTCGGACGAACTGAATTGCGGTTTAACTGATGCTGAAGAGGTTGCCTCAGTTCTACAAGCCCGACCTTGTTCCGCCCCATCCTCGGGCTTGATTTCAACGCTAGCCTGGACAATGTCATGTTTCTCATATTCCAAGGGCGGACTTCTGGCTCGGCGCGTGGGAGCTGAGACGTGCCGGTTGCTTTCGTTTATAACAGGTGATGCCCATGCTGAAGGGGTTCGGGAAAGTTCAAGGGGGGAGAAGGATACTCCATTGATGCGCTCTTCTGACGCGGGTCCAGGGTGGGCATCGAGCCCAAGTTGGATTCTGATGAGTTCTTCGTCAGAATTCTCTATGGCCGAGGGCAGAGATGGCTCCAGCGACTCACTCTTCGGCTTGATAGGCGGTGTCTCGGACTTTGGCTCCAGAGGCTTGTCCGCTCTTGCCGCAGAGTCCCGGGAGCGTATGACCCTCTGCGGCAGACAAGCACGGACAGCCTTCTAGTTAACCGTTGTTGCACAGAGGAGGCACTTGACGGGCTCAGTCCACGTCTTTTCGCCACCAACGATGCCCTCCCGCAGGTCTCTGAACTCCAGCACTGGGGGCCCGTTCTTTTCTGTGTTGAGAGTGACTTCAAAGAGCCCCTCCCATGGCCGTGAGGTCTCTCCGTTTGCCTCCCCCTTCTTTTTCGGCTTCCCACCCTTCCGACCCGACGCTGATTTGAGAACCAGCTTGGTGCTGGGGGTGCCTGTGCCGGCGGCTGCGCTCGCTGAACGACGGCCTGAGGAGGGTGCAGCATCCTCGGGAGCAGTAGGACCATCTTCCTCCTCTGTTTGCTTAACGTCCACGTTGCCACTCCCATTCTGTGCTGGCTCTGCTTCGGCCTTGACGTCGATCGAATGTTGGGCAGAAACGGCGGCGCCGGTATCGGATGGGCTTAGCGGACGCTGGCCTTCGATTTCGCTCTCGGCCTTCTTGATAGGCTCAGGGGGCAGGTGTGGCTTGTCGGCACCGAGTCGCTTGTATGTCGACTGGAGAGCGTCTTCAATGATACACTCTTCGTGCATCCACTTCTTGCACGCCTCCACTGTGCATCCGAGTAGTTTCCTGTCGGGGTTCGCTGGGGTATTGCATAGGCAAACCAAATCAACAGACTGCAAACAAACAATGGTTAGATGACGCGCTCAAACGTGAGGGGAAATGCTGAGATCAGTACATACCGAGAGTTCGTAGCTCCTGACGTCAAAAGCTTGTCGCCAGTAAAGCGCGTGTTGAATCTCCTCGTCGTTCTCCTCAAACCACTGCCTGACCGTCGCCTGAGACGTTACACTGACCACATTGATAATATCCACTGAAGAAAAAAGTCACTGTTAGCAAATCGAAGCTAGACATGCACCGGAACAGCCATATGTGCTTACTGTGATTCGACGCGACCAACTCATTCATTCCATGGTATGGCTGCCTCCCTTGAACAAACTTCTTCCCGTCAAGAGTGCCTGCAGGAAGCTCGTCTGGCCAGTACATCCAGTAAATACGAGCGTAAACATGGTGCTCGTCGCTCGCGCGGATCTCGAGAATTCGCGCCACCCAGTCGTCATCTGACTTCTTCCTGATTTGCATCGGCTTGTTGTCATTGGCAGCCTTTTGCCGTTCGATACTGGAATCATTGGCGACATAGATGAAGCCCTCGCTAAAGTACTTCACCCCATTGACTTTGTGCCGGAGGTGCAACGTTAGCCCACACCGCTCGTCTGAAATGTTATGCATCAGATGTTATGAAAGGAGAGCAATGCACTTACGAACAAAACTGTTGTACCTGGTCATGTCGGTCCACTTCTTCGGAGGGCTGACCTTGAAGTACAAGTCCATCGTCTCATGTTTCTTGAACTTGCCGCAGGGCGCGAAGGGCGACATCTGGAGGTTGACCTTGGCCGTGGCATCCTCATCCTCACCCTCGGTCTTGCGCTTCTTTGACTTTCTCTTGCTATCCTTGTCATCTGGGTTGACGACGTCGATCTTGAATGGGCACTCGGCCCGGTTATCCTCGGGCTCCTGTCTTGGCCTCTTGCGAGCGGAGGAAGCCATGACGACCAGGTTGTGTGTGTTTTGCGGGGTCTTTAGATGAAAAGGAAGGGATCGCGTCGGGCAGATGGGATGTCGGAGCACAGGTTGGGCGCCTGTGAGCGTTTGCGCAACAATAGGTAGTTGCGATGTGCAAATAGAGTTTGGGTCGATGGCGATGCGCAGAGGTTGCAAGGTGGGTTGGATTGGGGTGGGCGACGGTGTGAAGGTGGCTGGGAAAGCGCCTACCTTCGATCGGCTTGTTGAGGGGGAGGGGGAGGTGCGGTGTGCTGTGGTGCGGTGCGGTGCGGTGCGGTGCGCGATGTTGTGGACAGGACCGATCCGGAGCGAGCGAGCAATGGGCAGTGAGAGCAATGAGAGCAATGTCAACAGCACAGGGCAGCCCGGTGGTGCCGGGTGAATGAATCACCTGGGCCGGTGATGGATGGGCTGGGGAGCAGAGGGCAGGTTCGGTCCGGAGTTGCTGGCGCGTGGGCGATGCTCGCGATTCAATGGCCGATGGTTCTCGTGGTTGTCGCAACACGGGATTGCTTCCTTGCAACTCGCAACGCAGGCAGCGGGAAGTTTGACACCGATCAAAATTTACGGGAATCGCGTCCGCCACCCTTGGTTGCCAGAAAAAACACGGGCCCTCCCCCAGCCACGTGATTACGAACCAAGTGAGGAGAAATGCTGTGGCTGGTTACCTTCCTTAGGAAAGCCTCCACGCCAAGCGCCAAGGAATGGGGAAAGCAAGCCGGAAAATGTGGCCCAGCAGCAGCAGCAAGCATTGTCGAGCTGTCCAGAGCTTCTCTCAGAACTTTCCCTCTTTCACCTGTTTGGAACCCAGAACCATCAGAGCCAATTCCAGGTGAAATCATCACCTGTGACTCAGCTTGTGCCAATTCCACAGAGAGATTGAAATCATGTTAATTTCGCCTGAGGCAAACAGACACTTGGTCACAGGCACCTCTGACATCTTGGGGGTTACGTCTGAGAGGATATGAATTGCCGGAGTCATCCAAGAAAGCCGCGAGGGGTAATGTCACACACACTCATTGAACCGAGTAATACATTATTCCCATCCCAGTCCAATGCCTAAATCCCACCAACCTAGGAAATAAACCATGGAAATATAAACAACGCCGGCGCTATGCACCACACCCATCAAACCCATTAAACAGGCCCTCCCATTTCCCAAACATGACGAACAACCTCACCGATCAGTCTCATACCCCTCCAAAATCCCCCTCTGCCCCTCCCCCTCCCCCTCACTAGTATCAGTCTCACTCAACCCAACCTTGAACCCCTCAATCACCTCCGCCAGCTTCTTCCCCTCCCTCTTCCCCCTCTCCACCTTGATAAACCAAATCAACGGCGCCGGAAACCCAACCAGCGCAGCCAGGAACCAAAACGCCGGCCTAATCTCCCCGCTCGCATCAATGATGGCACCCACAATCGCCGGACCAAACACGCTCGAGCCCTTGTCGGTGATAGCATAAAGAGCATAAAATGCCGCCTCGGATCCGGGGGGGATCAGCTCCCCGTACAACGACCGGCAGTAACTGCTCAAACCCCCGAGAACAACACCGTAGACGGCCGCGAGCGGGTACATCTCCCAGGGCTGCTGCAGTCCAAACACGCCCCAATTCTTGACAAACGGTAGGTAACCCAGTAAGCCATAGATGGGGATGAGTTCAAAGAGGGCGATGCAAGCGAGGATGGTTTGGTGAGCCTGGAGGTTCAGTTTGCGGGAGATGAAGGACCACGAGAAGGCCCCGATTACGCCGGTGGCGGTCGAGATGACGTTGATCATGCCGAGGGCCCACGGTTCCATGTGAAGTTGGGTTTTGGCGAACAGGATGGCGGTGGAAGAGGTGGTGGCAACGGCGTCAGAGAGGAGGAACCACCCGCCAAGGAAGAGCATGATGTCTACCAGCCGTCCAGCCAGCTTCATGGTACGCCAGAGAGACTTCCATGCGTCGATGGTGTAGGAGAAGAGGGCTCTGACACCGGTGTGGTTGGATGATGCTGGCAATGGTGGGCCAGGTCGTGGACGAAGCCACATGGCAGCCGGGACTGTGAAGATAGCCCACCATGCACCGATGACAAAGAGGACAATCCGTTGTGACCATGTCGTGTTCTTCATCTGAATCAGAATGAAGATGGCGACACACTGTAGGAACAACGCGGCCAGGTAACCCGTACCAATCCCCTTGGCTGAGATTTGGGATGACAGACCGAGCTCAGTCGAGGTGAGCTCCTCCCGGGTGCGCACTTTCGAAATAGGGGTCCCAAGCGATGTCTGCCTCGGTAGCAAAGCAGCAGTCGAATCAACCATGGCCCTCTCAGCATCCGTGTCGGCGGCAGACTCATCCTCCACCTCATCAGCATCACTCTCATCCAGCGCGGCCACATGCTCAACTTCGGGGTGATGCCTAACAAGAAGTGGCAGAAACGAGTTCAGCAACACAAACGACGCCCCTAGGGAAGTATTCGAAATAATCGCCAGCAATGCGCCAAAAAGATAGAGGTCTTTGGACACGAAAATGTAAAGCATCACACTCCCGCTGCCAATCCAGCCAAACGCAAGAAGCAGCTTCTTCCGATAGTTGCCGTGGTCTGCCGCGCAGCTTATGCTGACCACCAGCAGCGCCTGCAGTAACACGCTGATGCTGAAGGTGTACATGGCGAAGCTCGCCGTGTTGATTTCCATGCCGAGCACGTAGACCACGCACTGTCCTCCATCTGCACTATTCTTGTCGTTGCTTGGCCCACAAGGTGTTGTCCGATCGGATAACAAAACGCCATTTTCTCTTGCTAGGCTTTCGAGCAATATTGGGATGAATGATGCTGTGATATCGTTAGTTTATGTTCGCAACGACGCGCGCGCTGACCGGGGGATGAGATGGGCCAGGAGGGTTCTCATTCTCCACGATGGAGAACGACGTCAGCGTAGCGGGTGGATTGGTTTCAACATACCGATTCCTACAAAACAACAACAACAACAACAACAAAATTGTCAGTCAAACTTGCATCACCCTCAAAAATCATCAGCAACTCACCACAGATAACATAAACCTCTGCCGCAAAAGCATACGCATACCACCCAGCCAACTCCTTCTGGCTCGTCGGCCTCGTGTCCTCCCCCGGGTACCTCGGCGGCCGGTAACTGTGCGCAAACAGGCTGCTCATGCTGCTCCGCCTGCTGTTGTCAACACTCATCAGATACTCCTCCCCAGAATGATCGCTTGACCTCTCGTCGTCGGCCTCGAAGGAAGATGAATGCGATCGAAAAGACTTTTTGGACGCGTAGGATAATCGGGAGAAGAGGCGTGGTGCTGGTGGTGGACGCAGCAGCTGATGATGATCTGGGTTGTTACGGGGAGCCATCGCTTCCCTAAAACGGCCACAAACCCACTTAAACGGGCAGCGGCGGCGGCCTTTCGGCAGGCAACGACGCACCGACCAACGGTTGGTTTTGGTTGTGTTGGCGGGAGGGGTGCGGTCACCTGTCACCCGATCAAAAGCTACAACCACAACCTGTTCCTGGTTGTGTCACCCAGGGGCTGCTAGGTTGTTTGAAATGATAGTTTGATCGGATTTTTGAGTGTGGGATAGGTCAAAAGAGATGGATCTTTTGTTTTGTCCGACTGTTGGGCTCTGGATAATAATCTACCGACCGTTACAACCACAGGGCAGTTGGGCGTTCGTTGGCCTGCGGCCCCTCCAAGTCAACCGTCTGCAATGGTACCCCAGCCGCAAACGGGAAGTAAAGCTTCAGGATCGATATTTCGGAAATGAATGAACAAAGGTAAACAACAAAAAAGTAGATGAACGAGCCGCTGCTGGATCAGAGATTACATCCTTCAGAGGCATGGCTGGCTGTTCGATATCTCTGCATATCCTTGTGGTGGTTCGTGCTGCTGTCGAGAGAAGAGAAGCAACCAAGATCACCCACCGTGGGCGAGCCTCAACGACTACCAACTCTAGTTTATATATCCTGCAGTCCCTCCCCTACCATTCCACCGGGGACTTACCACCATCTCCATGGTCCCCGGGTGAATGGGGTTTGGGTTTCTGGTTTTCCACCTTGCTTGTACGTACATATAACTACCCACACCGGCACACTACACTATGCACATCCGGGGAGCATAAGCGGATGGGCAGTGATGATCCCCCCGAGCCGCCCACATGGACCCCCTCCCTTTTCACCACCGCCCAACCGAACTGGCACGCACACGCACCTTGGGATGGATAGGTAACTTGATTTGAGCAATCTTGGTCTCCATTACCAGCGTTGCATCGGGTTGGTATAGCTCGTACGATGTATACCCTCCTACCTTCACAATCGAAAAGATTCGACCACCTACTTCTGTACGGAGTATTTAGACAGAGCTATCCCCAGGTTGAGTTGCAGATGCGAGGTGCTGATCCCATGCTGGGTGGCCACCCTTGATGGGCTGAAAATTCACAGCTTGTTGAGGTGAGACATGTTCTTCACAAGCGGCCGTCTTCTTCTATGGTCTAGAGTGGAGTTCGGGATAGTGTTGGAGTGTGAATAAGGGTCCCTTTCAAGCTTGCTAGTCGCCAAGCCCGATGGGCATAGCGGGCATGACTCCATGAGGGGTAATGACGATGTGTTCCCGGATCCGATGCGACGGTATTTGACTACACTATGCTTTTGACAAAACGGCGGTTAGGTATTCCCGGTTCTTGAAGAAGGACCGCTTCACCACATGATCACAGTTGTCAAGGGACCTTCAACCAGGAGAATAAATCCTCAAGGTGGTGACACGGCATGTGTGTGCAACTGCCGGAGGCGTAGTACCGCGGTTTGCTTTCCTGGCTCCGATCTCGACATATACTGGTTTTGTTTCCCTTAACACCATGAACCTGGAAGTTATATCGGATGGTGTATGTGTGCATTCTTGCGCGTGTTGTGTGAGTGGGACCTGCAAGATGCAGGTTCAACTCCCACATCAGGCAGCACATGGTTCCTGGGTTGGGTTACAAAGTCAAACCAGTACCCCGTAGGCGATGGCCAAAAAGCAAGGCACGAAGCGCCCCAAAGCAGCCAAGAAGGAAGATTCAATATCAGAATGGCTCACCTGCTCACACCGGTCAAGGTGTGTGTGTGGGTTTCATTACTTACGAGGAATCTCTTTTCTTGGTGAAGCTCCTCGTGATCAGCTTGATGGTGAGGTGATGTGCGGTTCTTGCGGTGGTTGGAATCAGGACAAACAAGCAAAGCACACAAAAAAGAGCTAGAGATATTGCCAAAAGCTTGCCATTATAGTATACCTTGCGTCCCAACTCATATCCACCTCATTATCATATCTCATCTCTTTGATATAAACACCCCCCTCCCCCCCCCCCATCCCCACCTCCTTCAAATAAAGCCGAAATTGCAAAACGTTCAACAAGTCGTGAACAAAATGTGGTATCAGTGCAGATTGACAGTAGAAAGCAAGAGAAAGAAAAATTCCAGACAAACACTCCCACACCTTCTGTCTATTTCTTGAACACTCCCAAAATCTTCCTCTTCAGTCTGTCTGCCAAACCGACAGGGTTCGTCTCCCCGTCCACCACCTTCTTGGCGTGCTCCTTGGAGGCATCCTTGTACTCGTTACCAGCACCGCCGCGGCCAGTGTGGTAGTCCGTGTCCTGGGATGGACGAATGGCAGCCTCGGGAACCAAGTCCTTGTCGGCACGGACGGTCTGCTTCTTGCCAGTGTCGGCGATGTTGGCGGCGCCTTTGGAAATTCTCTAGTTAGCCTTTTTGTTCTGTTCGGGTCATCTTGTGTGTGGAGAAAGAAAGCCTTATCGTCCTGCCGAGCCTTGGCGTAGGCCCCGTGGGGGAGGCAGCAGGGGTGCTGGGTCGAGGTCGATAAGGCTAGCATGACACCACCTCGACCACCATCATCATCATCACCAGAGTGTTGTTTTGTCCCTTTGTTTGATTGTAGGGGGAGGAGACAAGTGGACAGCGATGTTGATGGCGTGGGTCATGGGCTATATCCTAGATGATATATGGGACAAAAGAGACCGAAGCTTACCTCCACGACCAGTGCTGAAAGCTCCATCGCCATGGCTGCCCTCGGCGCCAACACGGACGACCTCTCCATCAACGTACTTGGTGTCATCGGGGTTGATGTTGCCGGCGCCACCGCGGCCGTGGGAAACTTCAGGAGGAGCGGCCATTTTTTGTTAGGTGTAGTCGTTGACTCGCGGTATGTGGAACGACGAATATGTCCGGTAACCAGGTGGTGAGCTGATGTGTTTTTGGTGACAGCAACAAAAGCTGAAAAAAAAGGGAGAAAGGGAGGGTCGCAAGGGCGAGGAGATGGGATATGCGCCTTATAATGCACCCCGGCTGCACACGCACACACACACCACTCAGGTTGCTTTCGTCTCGAGGCGAACACCAAGGTAAGGTAAGTAGGCGGGTAGGGAGACCTAACGCAATAAGGGACGCCGAGCACAGGCGCTGCAGGACACTCGAACTCGATCAGGATTGGGCAGATTTGGAAAAAGACAGCGAAAAAATCATATCATAGGATGGCTGGTTACTGGCACCTGGGTTGTACCAACTGGCGGATAGAAATGATACGGATCATCACCTTTGGAGAGAGGGAGAGATAACACCATTGAAAAGCCAAGATCTGGAACGAAGACAGGACGGGAGCATCCCGGCTAGTTCCTGGAATGGCGAGCTAGGACAGAAGGGGAAGTATTGACCCCCACATGCTGATTATGTGTAAGTCGTGATCATCTTTGTTAGGACTGCGAGCGGAAATGTCTGTAGAAAATGACCAGTACTTCTTAGATATTGGTTGAAGAGCACAGGTCTCAGGAATAAGCTGTTATACAAACAGCGAGAGCCGCAATATAATGCAATGTAATTGAACGCTTGAAGTTGGAGCAACAGTAAACGCACACCAAAAACATGTGCTCCAGCTTGGCAGAAAAGAATCGGCCCTAGCCTGATCAGGCATGCGCCACAAACAGTGGGGAGCCACAGCTTCACCCACAGGCTGACCACTCACAACTGCTCCCTCCCAACGACACACCTAACCACATTACGTACCGGGTTCAGCCAAAGGCGCAGCTTTCCACTCACCCATTTTCCGACAGAAAAGCTCAAAGATATGGAGATCCTCCTTCTGCATGGTTGTATCGCGCTGCATGTCAAAGTGCGGGAATGCGCCTTGTCGTGATTTAAGCTCGGCAAGGTGGAGACAGCATCTCTAAGCATGAAAAGATTCACTGTGGCAACATTCAGTTTGATGTCTACAACATGAGAGGTTATGTTTCTTTATATACCTATATTGTTCCTTATCTCATTCTACCCAACCCAACTCGCTATTCAGCTCCCCAAACCTCCAGCCACGGGGTATTTCCCTTCTCCAAGAACGCCCCAGGCAATGACGTACCCAAATGGTCCAAAGATAAGATAAGAGCTTCCCATCTCAAATCTTTATGCTGATTGGTGGGCGGGGGTTTTCACATCCCCCCTTGTTCCTCGACTTACACTTAGACGCTCGTCGCACGGACCACATCAACTTCACATGCCACCATCACCACTTCACCTCTCATCAGCTACTCTCCTCCCCCCTCTAAAATAATAACCTCCCTCTCCCTCTCCTCCATCTCCCTCAACATCCTCCCCCTCTCCTCCCAAACCAACCTCCCCCACTCTGCCTCCATAACTTGCCTCCGTCTCAGCTCCCTAGCCTCTTGTCCTAGTTCCTGCTCAAGTTTTTCCCTCTCCCTCATTAATTCCCTCTCCTTTCCCCCCTTTTCCACAATTTGCTCCAGTTCTAACATCCCCATCTCTCTGTTTTGTGTTGATCTCATTTTTTGGTTTAGGGTGACGTATCCAGTCTGGAGTTTCCTCTCCTCTGGTGATTTCCCTGCGTCTGGGATAGAGTCAGAGGGGGATTCTCCTACTTTGAGAGAAAACTCCCTTTCGACGCCTTCGTGTTTCTTTTGAAGGGAGGCAACACCTGCAATGTGGGAGTTTTGCATGCGGGTGAGGGCGGTGGATTGCTTTAGATTCAAGCTGCGACGGCGAAGGGCATGGGACTGGACGAGCTGGGATGTTTCGCGGGAGTGAGACGTGATTAAAATGTCAGATTGGTGGTCCGTTATCGAGGTCATGATAAAGGTGAGAAGGGAGGAGTGCTCGGATATTTGGGTCAGTCTCGCGAGTGTTGATTCATCAGCTGGGGTGGTGGTGGGTTGTGAAGCTTGGCTGCTGCTGCTGGCAGGTTCGCTCTGTTGTTGCTGTTGTTTCTCATGCCGGCGCGCGGCGGCTTTTGATTTCATCACGTCTACCTGTCTCTCTGCGCAGAAGCAAGTCTTCCACCTGGCGCCGCAGACGTAGCAGAACTGGCCGCCGCAGGGGCAGGTCATGTGTCTACATCCGGACACGTGCTCTACGACGCGTTTGCAGCGGTGGCATTTTTGCCAGCCGGACTCTTGGATGAAGGCTTTGGTGTGGAGGTAGTCTGGGTCTTGGGGGCAGTATTCGGTTTTTTTGTGGGCTTTTTGGTGGCAGGTGGGACACATTTTGTGGCCTTTGGTGCACTTGAGGTAGGGGGTGGTGGTGGTGCCTGTTTGGGGGGTGATGATGGTGGTTTTGTCGTGCCATCGGCCGCAGTCGGGGATGGGGCAGTAGATTCTGTCGGTGGTTGCGTATTCGGTAGATTTTTCGTTGTAGAGTTTTCGGGTTGATCGTGAGGTGTACTTTGTGATGGTGCGGCAGGGGATGGGGTTGAGGCAGCATTTTGGAGGGAATTGGGCTTCGGTTTGGAGGCCGGTGAGGACGAGCTGCTCGAAGCAGGGTTTGCAGTAGGTGTGGTTGCATATGGCGGCTTTTACCGAGTCGGCTCTTTTAGTGGGTTCGAGACAGGCGGTGCATTCTCTGGGTAAGAAAGTTAGTCGAGAGGAGGGAGGTTGGGTGGGAAGGGTAGGTATGGGGCGTACATCTCTTCTCTAGATTCCTTGGTGCCGTCTGAGGGACGGTTGAGGGTTTTGAATGTGAGCCTAATAAAAGCACTGGGCGATCCTGGAGTTTCCTGGTTGTTATTCTTTTCGCCGGTCTGAGATATATACCGCTCCAAGTGGCGATGAGAGAACACCCTGCGACGCCAGGACCGGGATGGCTTGAGTGTTGGTCGTTCTGGCTCGGTTTGGGCCTCGCTTGGTAGTGATTGATCCTCCACGCGAGAAGCAGGCGAAACGACCACCGCCGTTGTCAAACTCTCCGCGGGTAGTTCATTTTCTTCTGTCATTTGTTGATTTTCTGTTGCCTGTTCCTCTTCCTCCTGTCTCGCCGTGTCTGGGGCCACACGCTGGGCCAATGCCACAGCCGCCTCTTTCTCTGAACGGGCTCGTTCAAAGACTGCGTCTATCGATAATCGTACAACCGTGCGGATTGTATCTGGTATATCTTTGAGCGCGGGTGGGTACGAGGAAAGGGTTTCTGGCACGGGGTAATCGACGAGGAAGTGTTCGCCGTCATTCAATTCTTCGTTTTCAAGCTGCGGTGGTGGTAACCACGTTGTGGGTGAGTTCTGAGGAAGGCTGACAGCAAGATTTGCCTGTTTTCCTTTTTCTTTGCCTTGAGCGTTCGGGGTCTCGTCTGGTGGATCTATGCGCAGCGGATCGTCGTCTACTGGCGTGGTCTCGACATAAATAGGCCGATTCGGTCCCCTTGTCATATCTCCAACTGCAGCGAGAGCCATAGCTTGCAAAGCTGCCCACAGAATGACCTGCAGAAGTGGCAGGGTGTCTTTGTCGAAAACACCGGCCTGTAGAAGTTCTGGCATTGGGTCGTTCTCGGGGATTCGCAGATCGAGGCGATAGCTGGGCCTGGCAAGAGGACCAGAAGATAGAAAGGAAGTAAGAGGATATTTTCAAACAGAGATTAGGAGTTTGACTTTGATATTTCTTTGCTGCTCGTTTTTTGAGCCCCCGCGAAGTGGCTTCGAGTTTTGAGGTAAGCCACAAAGTTAAGTCTCGGGTTTTGAGAACTTTATATGCTTTTTAAAGTGAGCAACGATTAGGAATTCACGACATCTTTAGAAGCGTGGTACTCCAGTGTCAGGTTATCTCGATATATAGAGAAACTAGCTGTAACCGGAGCATGCATCCCTCGAAGCGGGTTTCCAGGCGACCTTTCGAGGCGAGCCTCGTTTTGTGTGGAAGGTGACCATCCATTGGTCCAGTTTGAGCTAATATGGTCACACTCTTTGCAGTAGGCATACCGGGAGGCTGTGTGTTTACTTGTTTGGACTTGGTCTCGTTGATCGGGGCGAAGCTACATTGAAACAATGAGCTGGAATTTGTTTATACAGAGCAAGGCAGATTCTAGCTCGAGGCTCGCTCTATTTACTACAAGAAGCTAACCAGTTCAACGTGGCAGGTCTTGGCGATTGAGAGGTCTCTGAATGGAAATGCGGTAAGTTTGAGCTTTGAGCTCAGCCCTGGCGACCGAAGTCCCGATTATAGCTCGGTCTGCCTAGGCCGTGTGGGGCCGTCGATCCACTGCCGCTCCGGACGGAAGCGCTCAATGGAGCGCCGAAGCGGCCGCTGGATTGCCGAGGTTCCACTATAACAGAGGGTCTGTGCGAAAGCAAGACCTCTCTCCGTAGGAGAGAAGGCTACTTTTTCACCAGACAATATATTTCGACCGGACAGTACACCTACCAAAATACACCAAAACTAAGTCTATTTTTTTTCATGAAATTTATATATTAACTAATAACTAGATATATCTACAATAGCTATAAATTAACTAATAAATATTAAAACCGTAATAATTTATTTTAAATCTTAAAAATATAATAAAATTATATTATAAAATATATAGCTAATTTGTTATAAATTTTTATTTTAATTGCTATTAATTTACTATATATGACGAACCCTTTACAGAATCTCTTAAAGGAAACAGGTTTAAGGGAACTTCTGACAATTAGTTTTGGGCAGCGAGACAGTGCACAACAAGATGTCTCAATGTAAACACAAGATACCGTGAATACAACTGTAGATTGCATACTGCGGAACTATCTATCTACACCAGCCAGTTCCTCCGTATATATAGATCCTGGAGCCCTGAGGTGCTCGCCCCTGCTACGGCCCCGATTACCCATAGCACATTGCATCCTGCAAAGTGCTCGTCGTGCTATGCCTCTGATCACTCGTACCATCTTGCATCCTGCAGAGTGCTCGTGTGTCTTAGCGCCATAGCACTTTCGTCCAGCCCTGATTGGCTATCTCCTGACTTCTCTAATGATTGGCTAGGGACGTTCTGCGCCCTACATATAGCGCGGCCTGCTGTTGGGTTAACTGTAACACTATATTAATTCTAATTAGAAATATTTATTTTAGGTAATATATAGATATTTAGCAGATATTATAATCTTTTGATGAAAAAGTCCAGCTAGAAAGCTCTTAAAAAAGCTCTCTAGAAAGTTCTGTAAAAAAATTCTAGAGAGAGGTTGACTAGTAGGCTTTTAAAAGTAGGTTTGTTACGGTTCAGGAGAAGCGAAGACGCCAGGACTAGTGAGACTGGAGCGGGCGGACAATTGGGGCCTGTGGAGTAGGGAATAGCACGGGTTAGGAGATCTAGAATTTGAGAGATAGATCCGTAGATCTATGGATTTAGAGCTAGATCCAAAGATCTAGAATTT